CCCCGAACTCTTCTAAGAACGGAAAATAGTATTTATTGATCAAATGTGAAATTTAGTAACTAAATAAAAGTTATTAATAAATGGATACAACTTCAAAAACTTATTTGGTATGTTTATGTGCAGAGAATGGCAGGTGACAGTTTGCCAAAGAAGGTTTTTATTGAGTTTCTTCTGGGAGAAGGAGCCCAATGAGAGGTTGGAGGGATGTGATTGAAGGAGAAATGTTAAGGTGCTCGATGTCCGAAGGGTTGTGGTTCGGAGGTTAGATTTCGTATGTCGTAGAGCGCAAGTGAGTCCTACAACTCAATCTATGTGTGTTTAAGAAATGAACTATAAGTTTGCATTACGCCCAGATGTAGTTGTTTTTTTTTTTTTTTTTTTTTTTTTTTTTTTTAAATCGGCATGTAGATTTTCGGCCGGAATACAATCCTAAACGTTCCAAAGAATACGTTCCGAACGGTTCAGTTAATGTTGAGAGTGTGAAGCTTCACTATAATTCTCCATATCTTAGCTCTTAGCATACCAGAGTAAAACTTGCAATAGTTTTTAGCCAAACTAAACAAATTCGAACCGCACACTTCAAGGCAAAATATTTGCAAATAGTGTGTAATTTCTTCCTCCTTACAAAGGTATTAGTATTTCAATTTGAAACTTTTTGCACGAAGGTTCCTTCTCTCAGTCGATACTAGTGGTTACTACATTCCTAGTTACATATGATATTTGGGGAATATAGTAAAGTCAGTATTAGATTTTTGACAACACCCATCTCGCGGCTGGTTGACGTAACCATCGCTGAAAAAAATGGTATGCTGTTTTAGTAACTACGATGTCAAAAAATGTGTCTGGTGATCCTAAGATGCTGCCTTGATTGCCCACGCAGTTGACTTTGCATTCACAGGATATAAAGTTAACTGCTGGGACAGTAAAGGCAGCATCTTGGGAACACCAGACACATTTTTGACATCCCAGGTGCTAAAACAACATATTATTTTTTTCAGTAATGCATGACTGGCAAAAATGACCAATGACTGACAAAAGTCTAGAAATGACTTCCTACTATATCTCCTATCATAAAAATCACACATGACCTGAAATCTAGTAACCACTAACATTCTTTCATATTCGTATGATTTCTTTTCTGATCTCTATTTTTTTTTTTTTTTTTTTTTTTTTTTTTTTTTTTTTTTTTTTTTTTTTGCGATGAATTGTTGTATTCCCTTGCAAAGATCTATTTTCGAGGCAAAACTACTGAATTTTACTTGAGGTTCGTAAGAAATGTCTTTTTAATGAAGAAATGTGAGAGCCTGCTTTAATTTTCCCTTCATCACAGGGTAAATCATTTACCTAAAGCCTTTCTAGGAGAAGTATATTCTTAGGCATGACTATGAATATGGTCCTAAAACGCAATAATAAAATAGGATTTACTACCATTTAAGGTACCTCGTCCGCACCAAACGTCGAGCTTTCGGCCTTCGCTTGGTGCCCGCGAGCATATTCGACTGTCGGGAAGAATAATCGATGACCCCATTTGAATTTTTAATTTATTTTTGGTAGAGTGATAAGCTAATCAGTTTCACGGTACTCGTTGTCGTGCCTAATCAAGTTTTTCCTGAGGAAGGTCCGGACATCACGCTGCACTTCCGCCTTAACTTATCCAAAGTCCGAGGATAAAATCACCTCAATCGTTGTCGTACAAAAACATTATTTTAGTTTTTAATTTTTCGGCAATAATGCTCGATTTTTGTATCATTTTTGTGTGATTCCAAATAGACAAGAATAGCGATCAAGAGTGCTTGAAGGTAAGTTATCGACCAACGCAATCTTTTCACTATTTATCTACCCTAATTGAGCAGGTATCAGGCGTGTTGAGGTGCTTTCGTTTGGAGCATTTAATTTGCGAACTCTAAAGTCATTGCGAATTCCATGCGGATGGGGTTGACAGTCTACCCCTGCAAACATTTTGAAAGCAGCCTATATAATGCATGTTTTGAAAATCATCCAGCAAACTTTATCATAATATATTATTCGTGAACCTTTCCTCATTCATTCTTTCTCATTCTAGGCGAGAATATAAAGTAGACCTCGTCTTTGTAAAATTTTAGTGTTCCATCCTGTACATTGTTTCGACTGTGACAATTTGTCATTAGAAATTGCGTAGAGCGGGAGGGGGGGGGGGCCTTCGACAAAATTGGGTCTTGCTTGTCAGCAAAATGACGATTGCTTTCGTTACTTTAGTCGATACGTTTTTACAAATTCCTGTTCTTCCAGATATAACTGATATCTAGGCTGTGCCATTTCAATAATTTTCAAAGACCTGCAAACCGGAGCGCATAAAATCCTGAAAATTTGGCGCTTCAGCCAACTGTGATACAAAATACTGCATCTCCTCTAGACCGAGGGGGAGGGGGAATAGGGGATTCGTTTCCACTCCTCTTCCGTCTTACTGTATAGCGTAATGAGTGCAAAAATTAAGCTTGGAGACCATGGGCCCAGTAGCATCATTTCTTCGTGAACCGGTTAATAATTATGCATACTACTCTTAAAAATCTTCCGGACAGTAAAGAATTGACGAATTTAATTTTATACTTATAAAAGAGGCATCGGTACGTGGACTTTATGTCCACTTTTTTTACGTCCACAGACTTTTCGTCCACAATTTTTACGTCCACAGTTCTAAAGCCCACACTATTCTTAAGTCCATCATTTAAACGTCCACTAAGTTAAGTCCACAAATGTAAAGTCCACTACAATCAAATTCAAGCGTCATATTTTAGTAAGTGTGTAAAATTATATTGACAATATCGAAAATAGAAAATTAAGAGAGAATGAGGTGTTATTATCGTAACTCATATTTTAAATGAAATGTTAATTTCTTCTTTTGATTCATCTTTTCAAATTGTCTTTGGTAAATACTTGATTTCATTTCTATCCTTGAAATTTCCGATATAAAACATGCCTTAAATGTACATTCTTTTTTTTAATGAAATTGATTACTTCATTTTAAAAACATTTACATTTTTAAAACGTGGTAGATATTTGTAAAACCTTTTCCAAGCAATGGCATTGATATGAATCTCAATGAGCCGTAGTTGTGATGAAAGAAACTATACAAAAATTAATAAATTTGTACATCGACCTCCTTGAGTGACGTACTGTCCAATTATGAGCGTTTAGTTGCACTTACACCACGCTGCAGCACAGTAAAAGCCCAAAACATAAAAGAATAAATTTGAATGCTTTGGAAATCATTAAAGTTGACACGGAACCACTATTATATTTACAAAAAACACATTATGTTTTCCAGTAGTACATATTTCTCTTCCCTCCGTTTAAAAGGGAATAATCCATGCAGAGAGTGCAAACATTTCAAAATCATGAGTTGAAAAACGCTGACTCCGCGAGTTTAAATATTAGAGCCTAACACAGAGCGGAGCGGCGTGTTAGCAGCGCAGAACGCGCCCTAGCGCCTACAAACATAACGGGATACTTCACGCATTGCGCAACGCGTGAAGTATCCTGTTAGGTTTGTAGGCGCCTATGCGCGTGTCACGCTGGTTGCCTGCCGCGCCGCACGTTTTAAGCAACTATTTCGCATCAGAGGCGTTGCACAGTATCCTACAAGATTGAAGGCGCACGAAATAACTAGTTAAAGAGGACTTTCAATTTTGACTGCATCTGTTACTGAAATATGTTTAATTTGGCATTGGAGCGTTTCCTAGGCTCCCACTTTGGTTTTCATCATATCACATCCGTACAGTGTACACATGAACATATGTTTTTATCTGCTCTTGGAGTCTGTTCTCTTTATAATAACTAACTAACTAACTCTTTCATGAATTTATTCATGAATGAAATGTTTTTAAGAATGAAGGTAGTAGTAGTATGCATTTATTTTTGAGGTGGTTCCTGTCATTTAAATGAGAAGAAAAAAATGTGGACATAGCATGTCCACAATTTGGACGATTTTAGACATATTCATGGTTGGACATTAAATCATGTGGACTTGATAAAGACTGGACTTAACGTTTAATGGACATACATAGCGGTGAACATTTATTTAATGGACGAAAGGTAAGTGGACATAAAGTCCTGGAAGCGAGGCATCCAGTATTTGAGCTCTCGTAAACTTACTCCTCCGTTGACCCCATGAAAAAAAATCTGAAATCAGGCAGATGTGTTTGATGTAACTCCCGTCATTTGAAATTTCCTAATAACTAAAATTCAAATTTTAGTGCTCTGGTTTTGGGTTGAGAATCAGACAGGTGCCAGAAATTAAGTTCACATTAAATTTCAATTATACAAGGTATATTCTTATGATATTTAGGTGTAGTTGCAGTATCCTACCGGGCTCATTAACTCGTTATACATGTTGAGTTGTGTCGTAAATAATTCAATATTCTTTAAGAATAAAGCTGCAATTTCCGCCCAAAACTTTCCTCATTTTTGCTTGCGATCAGAAGATCAATCAGTGAGATTTTCGGTTGAAAATTTCCAAGAATTTCCTAGAAATGATACAATTTGCGAATGATTTGTTTTCCAAGTCGGAATCTAGTTTCTGTATTTCATCTGAAAACGGCAATCAGTAGTATTCCGTTCGATGTAGCTGATACTGCCAGGCGTCAGTTAACATGGCGTTTTAAAAATCCAAATTACAATCAGGAATTAACACAAATATTAATACATTAATGGAGATCCTACGCAGTAATAATGAACGATGAAATGATCATGTTTACAGTTTGGAAGAACGTGCAGAACATAGAGGATTTGGATAATGGACGGCTGTGTGAAGGTTGTAATTTCCGGAACAGCAGGCGCATTTCCGGAATGCGAAAATGTTGCTGAATTTGAAAAAGCACTCGAGAGAAAAGCTTTCCTTATCTCCAACGATGATCGCAAATGGCGAAACCGTAAGGCTCAGCTCTTTATGCAATTGCACGATTGATACATTCTGCACCGAATAAACGACTTCAAGGTTGGGTCTTAAAATGACCGTATACTTAGGTATAGAGAAAGTGCCAGCGTTATCCTCGTAGGACTAGATACTAAAATGGGCGTAGCTGATACTTATCAAAAATCTAGATGATGCAATTTGCAGCTCTTAAGGCATGACTACTAAATCACTCCTCCCGTTTGCCCTTGTAAATTTGTGAATAAGATATATTGATATGTTATTTACTTGATATAAACATACGAAATTCCTCTGTTCATTCAAGAGAGTCGCACCGCAAACCTCGCTCGGTGATAACGATTGATAGTAGTCCGCCGTGGTACTGTTCTACTATAAAATAAGAACTCCAAGGAATTGGGTTTTAAAAAAATTGCGAGGCAAATGAAATGTTTTTTTTTTATATATATATCATATTTTTCCCAGAAAACAATAATATTACACGGAAAAAACGAGTTTAGGGCTGGTAACTGCACCGAAGGTCTCAGCCCTAACCGGGTAGGTAAAATTGCTTCACCTCCACCGCCATAGGGGCAGGCCCGGCGCGCGTAGAGCCCAAATCTACCTACTTCAGGGTTCAGCCCTACCTGGTAAGAGCTGCACCCTGTCCAGGTAGGGCTGGGCCTTACCCCCGCAGGGCCTGCCCCTGTGGCGGTGGAGGTGAAGCAATTCTAGGGCCCAGCCCTAATCTCGTTTTTTCAGTGTAATACCTAAAATCGAAAGTTACGTGCCTCTATCAATATATCTCAAAATTTCCGATTTTTATAATTTGTTTCTTGAGGGAAACGAGCTAAAATATCTTCTTGAAATATTGAATGAACATTTTTGAGTAGGTGAAGAAAATACACATGTGATGTCAAGCAAAATAAAATATTTCAAACATCGTTCCTGTCCATTTATGTTGATTGTGTCTCTATTTTCAGCCTCGGACGAAGCGCCCATTTATTACGGGAATGCAGTTGGCACCGATAAATTTGATGCGACATTTTTCAACGTCCATTTTCAGTATCCTCCTGCAATGGATCCTGTTACGAGGAAAGGTTTAGAGACTGCCGTTGAAGCCATCATAGATGCAGGTTCGTGTAACATTAAAATGTGACGAAAAAAATTGACGAATAGTGGATTGAGCTATTGAAAGAAGTCAGCCATAAATTTGAACTAACAACGCAAAATTGTATTTTTATTTTTCACATAAAAAAACTCCTATATTATATCACCTATCTTAGATTCGGAGGGGTGTTTTTTACAATGATTTTTACGATGAAACCTAGGGGATCATTGTTAAACTTTTGCGTTCTGTGTCAACGAGAATATATTGGCTTTTAAAGTTTCCACATTTGATACCTGACGTCCTGACGTCTCCTTTTGACTTGACTCGTTCTCCTATGCACAATCTTGAAACATCGTAAGAAAGTTGCGTGATAACACCGTAAACACTAATTTTATTCACATCTTTGGAACTCATATTTTTTTTTTTTTTTTTTTTTTTTTTTTTTTTTTTTTTTTTTTTTTTTTTTTTTTTTTTTTTTTTTTTTTTTAATTTTAATTTTAATTTTTTGTAGGGAAAAACTCCGAAGGCCCAATGAGAGCGCTGTAGCGCTTGAGAGTGTTGCTAAAGCCAAATACTAAGTAGAAAGAGAGGACAGTTGTAGGTATAGGAGTAGTAATAGGAGGCAGAGTCTTCGTGGGAAAGGGGAGAGGGAGGCAAAAATTAAAAATATCTCGTTGTGGGACACATAATTGATTGAAATTACTCACTTTGAAAATTGATGTAAAAATTCTGGTCGGGGACGACTGCCCCCCCCCCCACGCCAATCCACCCCTCCCCTCGAAATATTGAGACTTCGCCCTTTGTTAGCATCGCACTGTGTAGCTTGTCTTGTACTAGAGATTTAAAGTTTATGTAGTTACATGATCTAGATTTTAAAACATGAAACAAGAAATTGACACAATCACTATAAGCAAGAGTAAAACGGGCATCTAGACAATGTATGAATGTAAACACTACACAACATTGTTCCATTTTAAAATTCATGAGGAGACCGAATCATACAATGGGAAGTCTACACACAGACTTCCAAAGGAGGTACAGTTATAAGTATTTACACTTAACAATGGACCACTAGACAAGGTACGAATTTAAGCATTCTGATGCATGTTTCTAAACAAGAATTTCACGTAGAATACGATTCGCGTGACGAAAACTACTGAAACCAACTCCTAACGGAGATATTAACATTTTTATTTCACATTGGTTACAAAGAATTTGAACTGCCTGCTTACAAGAATCAAAGCTCTACGTGAGTCAAATCGTGCACTATAACGGTTTCAGCAAGCTTCTCAATCGAGCAATGTTCATTTCCCACCATGTGTTGTTCAAACTATAAGCAATTTGTTATACCTAAACCAAGGCGTCAAGATTGAGGTTTTTAGATTTTTATATAGCAGAGATTATCATGATAAACGTTTAGCGCGCGTTGTGAATCACGTATAGCATAGAGTTTTCATGAGCGGGTTGTTTCAATTCAAGCACTTAGAATCATTGAATATCTTCAGAAGGAAATGATTTCGATAATTTCCGTTGTGCCCATCTTGTTTTACGTGAAATTTTGGTGAAGAATCATGTACCAGAATGCTGAAATTCGTACCTTGTCCAGTTGTCCATTTACATTTATACTACTCTCCTAATTTTGAATCGCCCTGGCTTTGCTCAAGATTTTTTAATTATTTTATTTTCAGGAGTATGCCCAAAATCACTGGCCGGGAGTAAGACCGCAGTGTACACATCGTATGACCTCAGCGAAATGGAATCCAGTTTTGCCTACTTCAGGGCCACTAAAGTTTTTGCTGGAGTAGCCCGGACCATGAGTGCAAATCGACTCTCTTTCTCGTTGAATCTGCACGGTACTTTTCTTTTTGAAACGAATATTTCTTGGTTCAATTTGACTTTAATCTCCACTTTACTTCACAGCCTAGCCCTATATGGCATCATAAGCAGCCGTGTGCATGATCGATAAAATCTAACGTGCAGCACTATTTATGCCGTAGTCAAAAAAACATTTAAATATCAAATTCCAAACGGATAGTATGTCACAAGAGACTTTATTTTTCAAAATTTGTAAATTGAATCATTATCATCACTGTACATAAAACGGAAAGGTTCAACTAAAAGGATGTATACGGAAGTGCCTATCTGGTATGATAAACTATAAAAAGGAAATTTCCCTAGATATCGAGGCATGTATAGTTTTGGAGGTTAACCAATGTGATTTAGGGCAATTTCTTAATGATGAAAAAGAATGCATTATTGTTAACAAGCTGCCTCAAATGTCACGTTTTGAGGTATGGCATAATCTTAATAGAATTCACCTCTGAAATTTGGATGACGCCCTGTTGTGGTTATTTTTTTTTTTTTTATTGCTGATAATTATTAATAATAAAACGCGCAACGGATCTGTGCTATTTATGAGACTGGCTTTTGAAATCCAAAACACATAAAGGATACAAGAAACAGGTTATAAAGTTTTATTTCTGCACACAATGTCTTCATGCACTTTGGCTACACCCATAAATATACAATTCCACGTATGGTGTAGCTGAAAAATCCTTATGAATTTTAAAAATTAATACTGAGCGGGCCTTAGCCTGCGTCAAAAACACGCGAAAGAAGGATGGGTGAAACACAACAAATATTCTCATATGATTTTCCGATGATTATTTGATACAGCCATTAATTTCAAAGTGCGAAGACTCTAATGGTTTGTAGAGGTCGATTGAAACCTTGTGCGGAAAAGTATGTTAATTAACATACTTTTCCGCACTCCGCCACAACTGGTAGAGCGTGGAGCAAGTTGATTTTATTTTTGTACGGAGAAAAATAAATTGTGGTTTCATGAACATACATGTGAATGTGTCACGTAACACAGTCACAATGCTAACCTCATGGGAAGCAGACTAGAATTTCCCTTTCTTACGATTGGTGAGTTAACTTCGAAGGTTTCAATCGACCTCTACAAACCATTAGAGTCTTCGCACTTTGAAATTAATGGCTGTATAAAATAATCATTGGAAATGAGAATCACAGAATGAATGTACTGATTGTGAGTACAGAATGAATGAGCTGAGGACAGGCGCTGACTGTGCCCAGGTGAGGAATGGAATGTTAGAACAGAATCACCAATCGCCGTACTAACCTCGTGAGGTGCAGAATCTGGTGATCAGCGCATTCGTTTTTTTCTTAAGTTACGGATCCGTCAGAAAAATTTTGCAGTCCGCGAACTGGCCAATGCTCCCGCCTATTTTTTGAAGCGGACAGCCAGTTCCCGTGCTAGCCGGTCAAAAGTCTGAAAATTACGCCATCGGTCCAGTCGCTACTTTATTGAAAATTGTAAATACATTTTACTACTTTTTTTATTATTATTATCTGAAGTTGTTAATGAAAAATTACTTTTGTCAGTATCTTGGCTGCGCGAGTTGCATACTCAAAAATTGGTAGCACTTCCGCATTACATAGACGAGATTGAGTTGACTGTTAGCACATCGACGCAACTATTCTTGTTTCGCGGATGTGCGTGTTGCATGCACAAAATTGAAGGCACTTTTGCTTTTCTCAGTTCTTCAGCGATGAGCGGGACTCGTCAATTGTAGCTCTAATAACAGAACAAGTTGGTATCTGCCATCGCCGCGCGATAGCAATACTCGTCATGGGAATTTGAAAAATGTTAATAATCACTTAGCATTGGGTAGCATTTCTATGATAGTTACCTCTGCTGGAAATATGTGTATTGGTCTTGCTTTGAAAAGTTTAAGCGCTAATGTCCGAAAGTGAAAAAGTTGCTATCTTTTGGTCTTCACGTCGCCTAGGTTACTTTTTGTTACTTTTATCTTCTGTTTTGGAATAATTAAAGCCAATTCTCGGAAAATTTTGGGAGGAACTGTCGTTTGGCTTCAAAAATAAAATAAATGAACTAAAACGGAACATAATTGACGGTGTGCGATGTTGCAATCGGAGGAAAAGCGAGGAATTTGCGCGTATTTCATTAATATTTGACTCCGATCATGGAAGGCGCTCTTGATACAACTATTTCACCCCAAGGGATGTCCATATTGCCGCTAGCCAGATTGAAGGCGTTTTGTACTGCAATGAAGGCTCGATCACACTGAGCTTGTAGACGTGACGCTGTTTGCGTCGCAAAACTAAGACATCGCGTCGACATTCTCCACCTGCTTCCTGTTTCTATCATAGTTTAACGAAACATATGAGTCATAATTGCAAAATTTCGGATCATCAGTAATATGATCAGTAACTTGATTCGTTTATGCAAAAATAAACGAAACTGAAAAGCTAAAATTCTAAAATTTCCATAAAATTTTAGGCACCTTCTGATCTACTTTAAAATTTGCAAAACCAGCAAAATGTGTACTGTTGTCTAAAGGCATATCGACGGTGAAAGTCGGCAATCACATAACTCGTTTGCGGTGTCTGAAAATCTCCGCCTCTACGTCATTTTTTTAAAGGAGAACAAATTGATATTATTTCTTGAAGTTTTTGCAGAATTTTCTTCGCATTGAGAAGAAAAATCATGACAGTTTTAAGGAATTGTCGTTGAGTAGTTTTCCATTTAAAAAATAAAGTATGACAGGAAGTCTGCGACGTCGCAAACCGAGTTATGTGATTGCCGACTTTCACCGTCGATATTGTAAGCCCCGAGAAGGAGCTGTCCACAAACCTGTACTATTAAATTTTGCTCAGAATTCGTGAACATTGTGCGATGTCATCGACCTCTTAAAACCTCCTTAGCCTCATAATTAGGCATATGAGGCATCTAAAAAAGATTATCTGACTAAGAAACGACAATAAATGTAATCTGTTTTCCTCGAAACCAGGTCCCAGTTTGTCCTACACGGGTGGATGGGCAGCTCTGTTCCACCTTCTAGAAAACGCTAGAGAGCAGCTTCAGAGCGGGTCAATTAATGCAGCGATTATTGTTTGCTCCAGCTACATTATGAGCCGACAGTCGATGATGTGTTACTCCAAACTTGGCATGACAGCTCCGGACGGGAAAAGTCGTCCATTCGACACAAACGGTAACTCGCAGAATTTTCCGTCTCAAAGTTTCTTTAGGGATGTTTTACACATGATTCTGTTAATGCTAAAACCTACTAAATGACCCCACCACACACTGAGAAAAAAAGTTCGGTAAATCCGAACTAGTTTGGATCATATGGAACCACGATTTTGTTCGGTACACACAACCGAACTATTCGGTCTGTTCAACCGAATTGTTCGGTTTGTGCAACCGAACCATAATAAATTCTTACAGTTCGGTTCAGTGGACCGAAAAGTTTGGCTGAGCAGACCAAATAATTCGGTCGTGTGTACCGAACAAAATCTTGGTTCCATATGAACCAAACTAGTTCGGATTTACCGAACTCTTTTTCTCAGTGCAATACAGTGCTAGGATAAAACGTCATATTAGCATTTAAATCCAGCCAAAGCTCATCTGATAAAATATGAATTTCTTGGAAACTTTAAAAAAATGTCCTCAGACTTTTCAAATAAGTATAATCGCGGTTTAATATGTAAGTACCTAAATTTTTTTAAAACAAAATTCGAATACATTGGTTTTCAAAGATTAATATTTCATAAGGGAAGGTTCGGTAAAATTCAAAGGTTCAAGATTTTTTGGTTTTTGGCTTCTCATATTGCGCAAACAAAAGTTGAGCTATGTTAGTCGACTTTACAAGCATATGCAATGATTGCGACTCAGGCCATGCTTTAAGAAAAAAAATGTGCGAGAGGGGATGTTAATATATTTACAATTTTACCTTAACAAAGTGGACACGCTAAAGTTTCGACCAAAACTTCGGTCTTCACCAGTTCAAAGGAAATACATAGAATAGAATAAAAAACACCGGCAAGATGCATAATAACAAAGAAAAAGAGAAAATCACTACAAAGTGATTCAAAGGTCCATATAAAACATGTTTCCTAAATGACAGCGCGGTGCTCTGTTGTTTTGACAAACACCCACAACTAAAATGATCGGTCGAGGCACTTCATCACGTGTTGTTTTCTTCTCAATAGTTCACATGGGCAATAGGACGGGAAGTATGGAAAATTACGCCTCAAGGGGATTCGACGGACGCCATGCGATATATCGCATCCATTCGTTCCATAATTTCAGCAACTTTTCGTTTTTTTCGAATTTTGAGATCGCACTTCTGTTGTCATGAGACTACAAAATTGATGTACCAAATTTGACAAAGAAATTCAACGTTATAAAGGCGTGGTTTTTTTTAGGGGAAAAATATCGCATTCGATACTGCTATCAAAGCTGCACTCGAATGCGATATTTTTCCCCTAAGAAAACCACGCCTTTATAACGTTGAATTTCTTTGTCAAATTTGGTACATGAATTCTTCAGCCATGACAACAGAAGTGCAATCTCAAAATTCGAAAAAAAATGACAAGTAGCCAACATTATGGAACGAATCGATACGATATGCCACACGTCGCTCTGACACAAAAAATGGCGTCCGTCGAATCACCTTAAGAAGAAACGAGTGTTTATTGGAAATTATTAGAATGACAGAAACACCAATGAGTCCAACGACGCCATTTACATGCAGGCGATCATACTTTTGGTCGAAAACGAGCACTCAGTCTTGGAATATCTTTGATTCTAGGGCAAGGTTATGCCAGAAGTGACGGTTGTGTCGCGTTCTTCTTGCAGCGAGAGGGGGACGCCCGAAGAAACTGGGCGACGCTGATCGCAAGCGACTACAGGTTCTTCAAAACCGAGCGAGCCAATGTGCTAACGTTCGACACGAAAAACGCCATTAATGTATTGGAAAAACTATACACGAAACACAATATCAATCCTGCCAGTATTGAATACATCGAAGCGGATGGCTCCGGCCTTCAAGTGAGTCAATCGGCGAATTTTAATTTTAATAATCTCCCAGCTTGTTTTACTGTATGAGAGATCAAAATCAGCGAACATTGTAATGCAATGTCTGAAGGTAGTAGCACTGAATATATTGGAATTTGGAGTGTAGCCGAGTGCTAAAAATAATGTAAAATTTCTTTTAAAAACTTACATTTTATTAACAAACTTACATTTTATTAACAAACTTACATTTTATTAACAAACTTACATTTTATTAACAAACTTACATTTTATTAACAAACTTGGACCGAAGCTTTTCGAAGCGAACGCTTCATCGTCAGGGCCACAAAATCGATATCACAAAGGCCATAATTTAAATTTCGAACAAGGTAACAGATTTCATTGATGGTAACAATTGATAACAAGCTATTAGATCATATTAGATTCAGATTCATATATTAGATCTAATAGCTTGTTATCAATTGTTACCATCAATGAAATCTGTTACCTTGTTCGAAATTTAAATTATGGCCTTTGTGATATCGATTTTGTGACCCTGCCGATGAAGCGTTTGCTTCGAAAAGCTTCGGTCTAAGTTTGTTAATAAAATGTAAATTTTAAAGAAATTTTACATTATTCCTAGCACTCGGCTACACTCCAAATTCCAATGTATGAGAGAAGAGAAAAAGCAACGGTTGAGCTTAAAATTTTCTGTAGTATTTTTTAACATTCCACGATATTCCGTAAAAATTTCAAGCCGGACATAGAAGTGTTCCTCCTTTCAAAAAATAAATAAAGCACGCAAGGAAATGTGGAAAAACTTCAAGTACACTTCTAATAAATTAAGAGCGCAAGTTCTAAAACCTACGAGCTGTGTCATACGTTGTTAGCAATGTCCAACATGTGACTCATTGGCAATTAGGCTTATGCCTCTATATTAAAAATCGCGAAGTAGAATCTGGTGTATTTCATCTCGGAGTCTGTGTTGATCCCGAAGTGATAAGAGTGCACGTGTATGCAATGGGCCTATTGCAAACTTTTGCTAGAGCAGAATGAAGAGTTGTTTCCTATAGATAATGCCTCAAAAATCACGATGAGCGCATTGGCAAAGTCTGAAATGCACTCATAACTTCACAATCTGCGTAAGAAATTTGCGTTATTTTGAGCTTCCCGCTTCAAAAACGATACTACTGCACAGGTGAACATTTTGTTAGAGGAGTCGCTCCATCGTCGGCAATATTCATCATGGCCGACGCTTGCGCAGTTCCTCGCGTAATTCGAGGAGAGTTCAAGGTCAATTAAGGCGGGCGAGGAAAATATGAACGTAAACACGCCGATTGTTATATGGTTTAATCCTGTTCAAGTGTTATCTCGTCCCATCACACGTGTTTTGGCGGACTGGCGTCGGCCATGATGAGTATTGTCGCCAATGGAACGACTCCTCTAACAAAATGTTCACCTGTACCGTAGTATCGTTTTCGAAGCGGGAAGCTCAAAAAACCGCAAATTTCTTACGCAGATTGTGAAGTTATGAGTGCATTTCAGACTTTGCCGATGCGCTCATCGTGATTTTTGAGGCATTATCTGTAGGAAACAACTCTTAGTTTTGCTCTAGCAAAAGTTTGCAACAGGCCCATTCTCTCTGTGAAGTTAACTCTGCCCCTTCGAAGTGGAGGTCACGCCTCATTTATATGTATATACATCAGGTTTTTTTTTTCCTCCCTGTGAGTAATGTAGGCTTGGGAGTAATTTTCGCTCTAAATACTCCAAAATTTCTAACAGTGTTGTTTCCCATGAAACATTTTAAAATTAATTGAATATCCTGATATTCGAGAGAAGCGGGGAGGGGGACTTGTAACGCATGCCAGATAGCTGCATTATTTGACGACACATGCCCCCAGCTGGCTAATTGTTGAAATTGATAGACAAAAAAGACATTAGAGAATGGAGCATTGGTTGAAATGAGTGGTTATTATAGACTAAGGGAGAAAATGATGGACTAACTGTAGGGTCTCTCGTGGGTTGCCGTTGGTTAGTCTATTATCTACCTCTTTTGTCTATTACTACCACCCGCGTACACCAATAGGATCCATCCATATCCTTTTTATCTTCTTTGTCTATAGCTTTGACAACCAATTTCAACAATCAGCCTGCTGGGCTTATACAATTTTGGTTCTCCGTTCGTATGGCATGCCTCATTGTCTCAACTAATTGAAGTATGTTTTTTTGCAGTTTAGCCATCTATACGAATGATCGTGACTTTTCAGATTTTAGTGATTTAGACTTAGCTTTCAGGGCTAATAGAATGGTTTTCAACTAAGCGTTATAGAGCGAATCATTGATATTTAGCGTTAAAGGTTACAACAAGGCATGTGTACTCAACGAACTCAAACGTTATGTGACGTTCTTGGCGTTTTGTGGCAAATTTTGTGAAGTTTTTGCATCAGACTTCACCGATTGTCATTTAATCCACACACTATACATCACTTAAAAAGACTGCGTTGTTTCGGCTCAGTATAATAGTGGGGCCGATAAGTGGAAAATATCATAACAATCGTGCACTTCTGGAAGAAAGCATGAAAATTTCAGGGATTCATCTCTACCCTATAGACTTTCGATTCAGACATAGACCCCAAAAATCTGAGCCCCCTGGGGGGGCAGGGGCGCCCCCAAATTTTAAATTTCGTATAACTACTGAACGGCTAATGTTAGAGTAATTTTTTTACTGCAGGGCGATGGGAAATTTTATTAGGAACAAAAATGGTTCTTATGAATTTTTCTAAGGGATCGATATTTAAGGCGTGAAACGGGAAAAACCATCGGGGGACGGGGAGCCGGCCGTTCTGAGGCAGATCCGCGCGCTGCGCTGCCTGCCCGGGACGCGCGCGGCGGCGAAGTACGGTGTTCCCGACGGAATAGCCGCTTGTCTCGGTTTAATCTCAACGGTGCGCAGTTTTAAAATAATTATGAATTTACTGTACTGCCTAAATACTTTTCCATTGTGATATAAGCCCTACTTTTTATTAGTAACACATAAAAACAAGCAAAAGGCGAAATACTCCAATGCGAAAGCGCCGAGTCAATAAGAAGGGTCGGTCATCGCGCATCACGCGTCTTGTTTTCTCTGAATACAGAGCTTTTCCGATCTCAGTACAGAGTGTATTACCCTTTCCTCACGTGAGTTTTGTAAAGGATTACATTTTTTAAGATATTAGAGCGAAATAACAAGTTTTAATATACGATTTTGACCTACTTTTTAATGACTATTGGAAATGGCGGATCCTTGATAACTTATTTTTTGTTTTTATTTTCCACGTTATTGTCGGCGAATGGGACTATAAGCTGCTTACATAAGCAAGAATTTTGCAAAACTGATGCTAAGACATTACTTGAGGAGTAAAGAGGGGGGCTTCACATTCCCTTCGCCACCAAGGTTACCAGATCTCCTTCATTTTCCTCCAATATCGTTTTTCGTTCATGTTAATTGGTTCTCGCATTGCACAGGTTACATACGAAACATTCCGACAATGTTCTTTTCTCCTCTTTTTTCCTCCAGCCAGTCAATAGAAGTTTTCATTTTCATGAACTCCCCACTCTTTCAGTTATTCAACAAATATGCATATTTCAAAAAATAGAACAATATATTATAATGAATAATAAAATAGTGTATTTCCTTCGGAAAATACAATAAAAGAAGACATCTGAATCCTATCGCTTCTTTTTATCGAGTCACCCTTGAAGATATTATTGGTACTTTCCACGAGACATAAAAAATGGAATGAGTAGTAAAACAAGCAGTGAACTCCAACACAATGTGTTGATAAGGCGCGTCATTAACTCACACATATCAACCCCTTTAGTTTTCATTTACAGAGATTTCAAAATAGGCAAGTGGCACAACAAGAAAATTCATACGATCCAACTCTTCAACGACGCACTTTGACGAGACCTTGTATTGTGAATGTAGAAAGCCATTCGAACGAGTTTAAGTTTTTTGATCGGCCCCCAGCAATATCTTATTAGATTCTTAAAGAAAAGTGCTACGGAATAATTTAAGCGAAGAAAGGAAAAATTCTGTCGAACTCCTGAAAGAGACAGTCGATTTAAAGGTCTTTTTGGAGCTAGAATATTCAAATCACCGGTACCTATTATAAATCCCGATATATTATTGAAAAGAAATTGACTCGATATAAATGTAATTGCATTAAATATGTCTTGATTTTGTTATTTTAAACGTATTTCCATGCAAAGAAGTTCAACCATGTCCATGCTTTATTCATTCATGAATTGAAAGTAAGCAATCTACATCCCGAAAATCTATCGATTTGCCGTAAAAAATTGCAGAAACTTGATATACCAGGTCTATGCACTCACTCGTTGAATTTACCAACCAATTTCGTGGGTGCAAATATATAAAAATCAATATGCCATTGTGATTTTGGGTGCATTTATTTTTCATGAAACAATAATAATTTCAATCCCGAAAAACCATCAATTGTCCGTATAAAATCGAAAAAATCGAGATGTATCGACTCCCTGACGTGAAAATTAGATTCTACGTGTAAAAATACTTACACATGGATATGCTGAACAGAAACCATGTGTGGACACAGTTAGGATACATAGCCCCAGAATACTTTTAAAGCGCCTTTACTTTCCAGAATCTTGACGGAATTTTTTTTTTGGCTTAAACGACTCAAGAGACACTGTAGTTAATGAATATTTAGAATTTTCGATTTTGACACAAAAAAAAAAAAATGTTCGTTCAGGCACACCCTGTATTGTATGGAGTATTGCGCTGGTATTCAATCCTTGCCTTCAGATCAAAATTCTTACAAGGAAGCCCCTTGCAAGAGGCGAATTTTTTGTAATTTCTCCCAATTTTTTCTCCGTTATATAGTTGTATTGCTTGCCAAATTCTGAGGTCAATTATATTTAATTGTAATTTATACATTTCTTTTTTCCCCTTCATTTTATTTTTTGTATGGAGAAGTTTCGTTGATTTCTTCGGATTTCGAATACTGTAACTTCTCTTCTATTCGGCCGATTTTTATGAATGAGACCTCTTTCAATTCGTCTTTGAATGGAGAGTAAGAAAAAAATTGCTAAGTACTCGCGAAACAATTTTTTTGAAAATTTGATGGATCCCAGCGTGACGGTGAAATGGGTAATCGAGTGAAAGTAAGTAGGTCTGACTGTGGCGAGGGCCGCGAGGGTCGCCTTTTGTTCTTCAGCTGGGAAGCGACGCGGCGAACCGAGCCAGGACCGGGACACTACCTGGGTTTTGTGCCTGCCTGTGCACTGTTTTGGCCTGATAGGGGAGTGAATTTCTGTATGGGCCACGGTTAGCACATGGGCTAATGAGTCTCGAGGCTCATCACAGATTGCACTTACCACTATCCTGCTGGCCCTGGCTATCAGGGCAAGGAGTACCAAATTTTGAAAAGGATAACAGGGGTATGGAGATCTATCAAAGCAACGTTTTGAACAAAACGAAGAAGTGAAATTCTCATTCAACGAGTGCCGACCTGATCAGCCATCCTCGAATCAATTCGCTTGCTTCTGCTTATATATGCATATTTTAAATCAGCGCGTCGCATTCTAAGGTTTTTTTAAGAAAAACCAAGTAACGTAGACTCTTGGTATTCATTACACATAAACTAGAGAGCCCCAGAATGAGAAACAACTTTAAATCATAATTATTGACGGATAAATAAACTTTTTACACGCTTTGGAAAATCTCAGAAGTTCGCGGTAGTCACTTTTCGGTAAGGAAATAAGGGACTCGGTTATTGTATCGAGTGGGGGGTCGAAACGATCGCAAAGGCGGTATACTACGTATACGCGCCAAAAATCCATGTATATTATCTTTCATTTTATTCTGCAGAGTTTGGAGTGGAGTTGGTAACATTTGTATTGAAAAAAATATTAATGTAGGAGGAAATTTATTTATCATGCAGGTTCTGATCCTTTAAAGAACTTTGAGAAGGACCAGTATGTCAGAAAGAAATTCATTGCATTTCTTCTTTTTCAACCCACCAAATCTCGTACCGATTTTTGATTTGTAAGTATGTCGGAGAAAATTGTCAAGAAACGGGACTTGCAAAATATGCAGTGCACAAAACGTACACCTTGAACTTTATCGTACAGTATAACACTGATCGAATTAGCTTCAGAGATTATCAAAAGGTTAATTTCTCGTCAAAATATCAACAAATCAGTCAAAATCAGTAATCAGTAATCAGTTGCAAAATTACCGAGATTGCGGGATGATGCGCGATTTAATTGATGACATAAGAACAGGATAGGTCCCCAGTAGGCGCGACTTCCTATCACTCAAATGGACCGTTTTTGCAGATTAGCGGATACTGGCGACTATTTATTACTTAATAATATTCTTTGTAGGAAGCAGTCCAACAAATGTTTTTTGGGGGTCTTTTATCCCTATCAAGCTGTCTCAAGATTCTTTTGGCGTTTTTTCGGAGCAAGTTTTGAAGGTGGTTTTATATACGTAGCAATGAAGTACCAATATGTTCCTTAAAGAGAGGAGAATAAGCATGTTTTTATGTATACTCATTTTTTACAAAATTAGTTTCCCTGTCTTATAAGTCTGGCTAGAAGCCGTCTCCAGAGAACTTTAGGGTATGCAAGCATATTTAGATATCATTCTGGTGGCGCAGCACCGACAAAAAGAGAGAGAGAAAAAAAACACTTTAAAATAATTTTTCAGGCCATTGTGGTTAACAACAAAGATTTGTGATTTTTAGTCCCCCCCCCCCCCCTTTGCGAGACAACTGTGCGTCAGATTTTATTCCGTTCAACTGATGTCTGATACAGTTATCTCGGATGTTTTAATAAAAATTGACAAACCCGTACAACAAAACATCCCCGAACTCCAGCACTTAGCCCCTTCTCCTTCTCCTTCTTTTGCCGTGCGCTCACTTGTATACATATATTACCTGCAAAAATTAAGCCCTCTTTTACGGCTTTATAGGTAGTACGATATATTTATAATATTTTTAAAACTGCGCACCGTTGAGATTAAACCGAGACAAGCGGCTATTCCGTCGGGAACACCGTACTCCGCCGCCGCGCGCGTCCCGGGCAGGCAGCGCAGCGCGCGGATCTGCCTCAGAACGGCCGGCTCCCCGTCCCCCGATGGTTTTTCCCGTTTCACGCCTTAAATATCGATCCCTTAGAAAAATTCATAAGAACCATTTTTGTTCCTAATAAAATTTCCCATCGCCCTGCTGTAAAAAAATTACTCTAACATTAGCCGTTCAGTAGTTATACGAAATTCAAAATTTGGGGGCGCCCCTGCCCCCCCAGGGGGCTCAGATTTTTGGGGTCTATGTCTGAATCGAAAGTCTATAGGGTAGAGATGAATCCCTGAAATTTTCATGCTTTCTTCCAGAAGTGCACGATTGTTACGCTTATCGGCCCCACTATAATGATTTTTGCGGCAAGCGGCAAACTCGCGGTAAATGCACGGGCCTCGCTTATAAAATAACAATAAAGGTGGTGTCAAAAAAAATAAATTATAATTGAAGTAAATCCTTATCTTTTATGAGTTCTCCCAACATTTGCAGTTTTTAATGTGTCTCTGATTTATTTTATTCAGGATCGAGATGCAAAGGAAATTGAGACAATAATTAACTTCTTCTGCAAGAACCGCCAGCGATCAAATAAACTTCTCATTGGATCCTGTAAATCAAATATAGGGCATCTGGAAACAGCAGCTACCGCCGCCAGTGTTGTCAAGACTATTTTAGCCCTCAACAAATGTAAAGTTCCACCAACTATTAATCACACGTCACCTTTACCAGAATTAGCGAAATCAAACGATTTAGAGGTACGTAAATCAAGGATGCATTCCTCGCACCTGGGTTTATCTATAAAGACCTTCTGACCTTGCCTCATAATTCGCGCAGGCCTCTAAGACAAACTTAGACATATTTCTAAAGAAACTTATACTCCATCTGTATTTGCAATTGCTCCTAGAGATACTAAATTTTGGAGCAAAATCAATGGGACCTGATCTCAAGAGCATTAAAAATGAAAGATGGGATCAGGGTGGGTGAAAGTAAAAAAAAGATTGGAAATATTTAAAATTTCAGTGAAATATTTCATGAAATTTCACGAGGCTGTGAAATATTTCATATTTTTCAGGGACTATAGTATGCAACCTGCACTCAAATACACAAAAATAGAAGAAAGTCACCATTTTTACATTTTGCAAAATATGAAAAGGAGCCGGTATTTTTCAATATCAATCATTAATTTCATGAGATATTTCATTTGAAATTTCAAGATTTTGTCTTTAATGCAAAATACCCACCTTGAATGGGATCGCAGAGTATTTGAGGAACTCAAGTCCAATATTTTCAAACGCAGCCCCCTCCTTCCAAATATTTCTGGCCCAAAGTTTTAGCTTTTACTTTTACTTTTAAACCGATGATCCATACATAAGAGGAGAGTAATGTCCATAAGAAGATATTGAGATGGTGGTCACACCTCGGAAACATGAATGTGTCCAAAAATGTTCGTGCATTCCATAAAGGCAATTTCCTGTGTTCTGCTGCAGTGGTCCTTCAGATCACAGCGATGCATGCTCTCAACAACGCACAAAGCACATACTATTAGGAACATACCACATTCTCTTGCCCACACTGACTCACTATTTTTCTGGAGCATTAAATCCCTGAAAATGATATGATACATTTAAAGGTCACTATTAATTTTAACCAAGCCCACTGATCACGTGTCCTTTTCTCGCAGGTTGTCACAAGCACAACACCATGTGATGGTAACTTAATGGGGGTAAACGGTATTTCTTTGTGGGGTGGATTTGGACACATCATTCTTCAAGGAAATCAAAGGTTGGTTGTTGTTATCAGTTAATTGCGTATAATCGATAAATGATTTTTTACTTGAAATTAGTGGAAAAAACTTGCAGTATTTTTACTCTACACTTTCGTGCAACTGCAGATGCCTCCACTTCAATCGTTTTAAGCACCTGCAAGTCGGGAAGCCCTGATACTAGTGTTTAAATAAAAAAACAAAACAAAATACTGTCATGCTGCTTTTTACGAAAACATATTTCGCATCAAAATCGCATTCTTAAAAAGGGAACATCAAACATTTTGTGGGGGAGAACCAGAACTCAGGACGCTTAGTCCTTTGTTTGCTGCAGCGTACTCACAGACCCCAACAGCAAAGTAAGGAAATGAAGCATCGCCCTATGCTAGCATGCTTTCATAAATCTTGATTCTTTGCCAAAAAACTTACTTAAAATTCGCTTAAACCGTAATATATTTCAATTCACAGGAAACATTCTACAATGAAAATAAGCGAAAAGTTTCCGCAAATTTTGTTCCTGTCATCTCGGACCGAAGAGGGTATCGATAAAATCATCAGAAGAGTGAAGACCGTGAATATTACCCCGGAATTTGCTGCACTATCAAACGATGTCTTCAGCAAAGAGATAAAAGGTCATATGCACAGAGGATATGCAATCGTCGATTCAGAAGCGACGCAGATATCACATAAAATGCAGGTACACGGATACTTATCTTCGACCTATTTCAGTAGAGATCAACCCAATCAACACAATACGTTTACGTGTAACGGGTCTGAAAAAGGTGTCTTAATTTTCGAAAACTTGCTGAGCGAAGTGCTCATTCCGACATTCATCAGTCACCATTAATCGACTTATATGCTCAAAAAGTAATAATATTTAGGCTAAATACAAGCGTTGACCTCCAAACTTTGCTTTAGTTCCATACCCGCTTACCAACGCATTTTTCAGATTGGTGGTGAGAAATTTCTAAAATGTGTTGCATCTGGGGTGGTTTTTCAATAATTAATAGACTATCACATTATCTAAAATTTACATCTTATGCACCAATTCATTTATACTCTACTCGCTTTAAAGTGCTCTGCTAGAACTTTTTGTTGGAGCAAGACAAGATATTCCCCTATAGTTCGGGTAACGTTTTACACCCATTTAAAACATAAGAGCTAAAATCAATTGCTGACTACTGAGGACGAAACCCATCAAGGTGGTTTTCGAGAGAATATTCTACTAACTAGGAATGCAGCGGCTTGAATCACTATTTCACAAACTAATTTGAATTGCTAATTTGTTTGAAAATATCCTTTCAAGCATCTCGCCCGCTTTTACTTTCATCGGAGAATGACGGAAGTTCTGCATTAATATTCCGGGTACAAACTGGTCCGAAATTTTACGTCTCAAACACAAAAGCCTTTGTCTCAACGTGTTCGGTAACAGACAAGGGTAGACTTTTAACTCAAAATAATATTGAATTTTTACTGCATAGAGATATGGAACAACATAGAGTGGTATCTCCGCCAATGAGAGCGAAACTTATGCAACTTTGTACTCGTTTTTCACAAATTTGTATTATTTAGAAAAACCGGAAAAATTCTTATGAACTGTGTGTAGCCTCTACTATTCAAAAATGTAATTAACAAATTACTGGACAAGCTCAATGACGATTCAGAGGAGCTTTTATAGATGACATAATACAGTTTTATAAGATTTCGGTACCTTCAACTGTACCTTAAGAACACTGAAAAAAAAAGGTATGCTGTTTTAGCACTTAGGATGTCAAAAATGTGTCTAGTGATCCTAACATGCTACCTTGATTGCACACGTAGTTGAATTTGCATTCATAGGATGTGAAGTTAACTGCAAGGGCAGTAAAGGCAGCATCTTGGGATCACCAGACACATTTTTGACATCCTAGGTGCTAAAATAGCATATTATTTTTTTCAGTGAAAGCTTAGATCGAAGACTGTAAGGCCTTTCAATTGTTTTCAGACAGTCGATATACATGACAGGCCTCTTTGGTACGTGTTCTCAGGGATGGGCTCACAGTGGGCTGGCATGGGATCGCAGCTACTCCACATCCCTGTATTCCGAGCGGCCATTGATAGATGTGACCGGGCATTGCGACCGCACGGAGTTGATATTCTCCACATCATTACCACACCAGATGAGTCCATCTTCGATAACATTCTGCATTGCTTCGTTGGAATAACAGCCATCCAGGTTAGATCAATTGGAATAAATAGAACAGGTGTGGGTTAATGGCTGGGCGTCATTTAGGGTAAAAAATTGCCTTGGTGGTGCGTTTTAAGCTACCAGCACGAAACTAGGTGAGAATTCCATTCGAGGTATCTAGACCAAATATTAAACTAGATATTTGATTCTGGAGAATTATAAGTTGAGTTATTTGTATTGCTTCACTTATCAGCTTTAAGCATTGACGAGTGCAGTCAAGCATTGAAGTCAGTGGCGGAGGCGTGAATGATCGATTATCTATATTTCCCCATTTGAAGCTATGGTGAAGAATCGATTATTAAGGTTTTCGTTGCGAGCCCCCTGTTAATCGATTCTCTCTCTAGGTTTGAATGGCAAATCAATCGATGTATCACAAAGCACACCACAAGGTATAAGTGCGGAGACTTTAACAGGTGGTTAGCACAATTGAACAGAGTTTTACAACAAAGACACTTCTACGAACCCTTCAGAAAATCAACTCTCCTGGAGCGTGCGCTCATACGCGAATTATAATCAGCTCACCATTACAGAAAGTTCCCATTGTCGGTGGACAATGATAGAATTTTCGAAAGTTTCGGTGAAAAACATTAATCTCCAATCTCGCAAAATTTTTCTCGCGTATAATTTCAAGGGTTTGCTTCCTCTTCATGCTTTTTTATTGTAACACAAAAACTTTGAATCAATTGAAATTTTATGTAAAAAAAACTCTGTAACAGTCAGGTGATTGTTTGTTCAGAATTTAGGTTAGGTTATTTATTGTCCCTCTCTTGGTGAACCTGATTTCCATCGATCCGAACAGGTAAACAATTATCGAAAATCTTGAAATTGTCGGTTTTTTACGAAAAATATTTCAGGCATGGGAAAGGAGACCCAGGAGGTTTGAAATCCTCCCCTCAGCAACGCCTTTGATCATAAACCTACACTGATAAAAATATGTGTGTTCTTGTGTTACTTTTGGTTAATGTAGAAAGTGAAACACAAACCAACACAAATTTCGTGTTGTATTTGGTGCAATTTACGGTGATGCAGGAAAACTACGTTCCGGCACAGAAAACTGTGGAGAGGCTAGAAAAAATGCATTCCTCAGATTGTGAGGTTGATATCTAACACTTGTCTTTTATTAGATTTCTTCAAGAAACTAGCTGGCATTTTCTCTTGAAATTGCTAACCGAAGGCTAGAGTTATTTTGTGTTTTACTTGCCATATTAACCAAACCTTTAACAGTGGCGTGGCGTGAATTGCGATATATCGATTGTTATACCATTTAAACCTATGGTAAAGAATCGATTATTAAGGTGTTCGCAGCGAACACCCTGTATATCGATCTTTTTCCGTAGGTTTAAATGGCATAACAATCGATATATCGCAAAGCACGCCACGCCACTGACCTTTCAGTTAAAATTTTTCTCAGTTTATTGACTCCTTAAGAGGGATATAATCGTGCCGCGTGTATTTTTTCCTCCATTATTTCAGCGTCTCTCACTGGTGGTTGTTTTTTTCTTAGATTGGTTTGATCGATATTATGCGCGTGTTAAAGCTGGAGCCGGACGGCATGATTGGTCACTCTGTCGGAGAGTTAGGTTGCGCCTACGCAGACAACTGTTTGACCCTCGAACAGACTATTCTCAGCGCATTCCTCCGTGGTAAAGCCTCTCTAGAGGCCCCTCTTATCAAGGGTATGATGGCTGCCATTGGTGAGTATACACGGAAAAAACGATATAATACTGAGCACCAACTGTTTAGATCAAATGGAGCCAGCTAGTATGGCAGTAGTGCTGAGCTCTAAAACATTAGGGTCCAGCTCTAAAGACTGTGCTGCCGTGCTAAGGAAAAACGCCGTATGAACATTTGACAGTTGCCAAATTTCTCTCGATAAAATTTTCATTTTTGAGGTAAGTTATGCATATTTAACCTTGAAATTTTCAGGAAATTTAGGTGAAATTACGAACAAAATTATCTGAAAAATCGGAAGGAAAATATTTATATGTTTACCAGGAAATTCGTGTTTTATCAAAGGAAATTTGGCAACGCCTGAAGGTTCATACAGCGTTTTTCCTTAGCACGGCAGTGTGGGTCTCAGCAGTACTGTCATGTCAGCTGGCTCCATTTGATCTAAACAGTTAGTGCTCAGCACTAAATCGTTGTTTCCGTGAGAATACTTTTAGAGAGAAAATGTGTGGACACTGAACCTCAAACAGAGGAAAGAACTGGTCGGTCTTGTAACCCAGACTTCGGTTCAGGTAACCAAAGTTTTTGTTATCCAGACTATGTTTCGTATTCTTTACTAAAGATCGCTGTTATCTGAACCAAAGTTTGCAGTCTATGACCGAAAACTAAGGTCTCCCTATGTGAATACAAAAGTTCGGTTTCCGTAAAACCGAAATTTTACTCTCCGTGTAATGATAAACCTTAGCATACACGCAAATAGCGGTAATTTGGTACAGGAGGGGTTCTTTTTCCAACTCTGGGTGGTTTATCTGAGCTTCTGTTGCTAAGCCATAGTAGACGTCCTCATAGATTTTTTTCGTTTTTTTTTTTTTTTTTCTCAATGTAAAACTAAACATCGGTTTTAAAACCGAGTAATTCTACGGTGAAACTACCAGACCATTATCTCGTTTGCGGTGTTTAAAAGTTTCCGTTCACATTTTATGTTTTTGAAGAAGACCAGATCAATATCATTCCTTGAAATTTTCACAGAGTTTTCACAGCACGAAGAGAAAAAATGTCGCAAGTTTCCAAGAACTAACGTTGAGTGGTTTTTCACTTAAAAAATAAAGTATGGCGGGAAGTCTACAACTTCACAAACCGAGATAAGTGGTCTGGTAGTTTCACCACCGATATGCAATTTGAGTTTTTACGGCATAAAAACAACTGTTGGTAATAAAACCACATTTTCGATCATTTTAATTTTTAAGCCATTTACTTGGTAATGGTCATCATGATCTTTTGGACTCCAACAAGTCTTGATCTTTTGAACTCCAGACAGTCTTATTGAGCCAAGCATGGCTGAGCTGATCAGACATTACTTTTTCTCCGTTCATATTCTTGTCACGAAGGTCCTCAAAGCTGGCTTAACTTCTTGATATGACTTTTAGAAAAAAAATGGTTGTTTCCGTCAGCTCCCAGAGAACTTTGGGGTAATATGGGTCATGCAGTAGTTCACGATTCATTTGACGCAAACCCGATTCATTTTTAACTAGGTCTGGGTTACCGCGATATAGTCAAAATGTTACCTCCAACGATTGACGTCGCTTGCAGAAATTCGGCCTCCAGTTGTACTCTTTCCGGTCCCGCTGAGGACGTTGAAGCATTTGTCAAGCAGTTGAAATCGAAAGGAGTTTTCGCAAAAGCTGTAAACGTTGCAAATATTGCTTACCACTCGAGGTATATTCAACCAGCTGGCCCAATTCTCCTGAAATATTTGAAACAGGTATATATGCAAAATGAAATTGTTGATAAACTAATAAACTTTGAAGAGTAAAAAAGAAACCGATTCTAAATTGTAATATTTGGATTTAGAACAATCTCTACCATTGCGGATTCCAGTGGCCGTTGGGTATCGTGAAATGCATCGGTGCGCTATAATTGCGACTTTATAATAGAAACATTAAAAAGCGGGAAATAAGGCTAATTTTCACGAATAAAGCCAAAAAGTTTCGGCTGAAAACTCAGCTTTCCTCAGTTGGATAAAATGTTAGAAGAAAAATGTAAAAAATTCAAAATAGAACCTGCCTGTACCTTTCAAGGCGAGAATGTTGTCATATAATATGGACAGCATTTTGCAATTAGGAACTACAATTTCCGGCTCAGCTTAGGAACAACGTAAGTGGCATTCGTTTCTTTTTGCACACGTTTGTTTCCACGGATAAGCCACAAATTACACTGAAAAAAAAGAATCTTAAATTTGCCGCCAAGAAATATTTCTTCTTAAATCAAGAATTTTTCTGGTTAATATAAGCTACTTTCTTGCTTAACCCGAACATTATTTTTCTTGTAACAAGAAAAAACCAGCTTTAAAGGAGATGAAAAAAATTCTTGGCGGCAAATTCAAGAATTATCATGCTTGATCCAAGCTACTTTTTTTTCAGCGTATAGTTCCCAATTGCAAAATGAAGTTCACATGTTGTTTGAATGTCGTTAGATAACAGAATTCTCAACAAAATAATTTGTTGATCCCGGTTCTTTTGTTATTAGATAACACCATTCTCGCTTTGAAAGGTACAGGCAGGTACTATTTCGGATGTTTAACATGTTTTTTTTTCACTATTTTAGCCAACTGAGGAAGGCTGAGTTTTCAGCCGAAGCGTTTTGGCTTCATTCGTGAAAATTAGCCTTGTTACACGCTTTATAAATTGTTTATTTATTACATACACATATAAGTAGGAATAGGCTTAAGTTTAACCAGCTGAATATTTTTCTTGTGAAAAATTCAAAGTTGACTAAGCGTATTTTGAATGCATTTGATCAATTTCTATTGACATCAAAACAGTTCCTAACATTTTGGATCGAAGTATAAAATACAATTGCGTACTAAAGTACCCATCGTTCTCCTGGCCGCTAAAGCGGCCCAGCCCCCACAGGGCGCTTCGCGGGGTCCCGTGAGTTATACTATATAGAAAGGGCTCACATAGGAAATATCTTCTATCGACAGCGGTAAACATCATAAAACCTAGCTCGACAGATCTGTGCAACAACGCGTGACAAAAAGTGAAGATTTTTATTGGTTCAGTGGGATAATTCACAACTTCATCTAGTGAAATGAAGAAGGAAAAAAAACCCGGGGGCATACATCCAAAATCTGAATAAAGTGGGCTCATTTTTTGGGGACGGTCTCCTGTTGATAGCAGCAAAAATCGCGGTAATCGGTCCATTAGGATGGAATAAAGAATCGTTGCAAAAACACAAATTTAGGGAGTCTAAAATTTTCTTATAATGAAAACATTTTACTTTCCAGGTGATACAGAATAAAGCATCCAGATCATCAAAATGGATAAGCACTTCGATCCCGGAGCAAAGATGGGACACGGAGTTGGCATCCTACAGTTCTGCTGAGTACCTCGCGAATAATTTGTTGAGCCCTGTTCTTTTCGAAGATGTACTGAAACACATCCCGCCCAACGCCGTCATGGTTGAAATCGCTCCACACGGTCTCTTGCAAGCCATCCTTAAGCGGGCCGTTCCAAATGTGAATGTAGCCCTCGCCAGACGAACCAAATCCGAGGACGCCGTGAAATTCTTACTTGAAGCTGTCGGGCAGTAAGTATTTACATTCTGTAAAAAAAAAAAAAAAAAAAAAAAAAAAAAAAACCGACGCCTAAATTGTGACCTTGTTTAGTTGTTCAGTACTTAATTTTTAATCATTTGGTTTTCTAATACCAGTTACCAGACTACAGTTGACCCAATGGAATTCACCTTATTAAGCACTTTCAGATGGAGCAGTAAAATGTTTGCGTGCGCACTCTCCATTCTTGAATTTGCCGCCAAGAATTTGTTTTATCTTGATTTAAGCCGAATTTTTTTTATACGAGCAAAACAATGCTTGGGTTAAGCGAAGAAGTAGAATCTATTGAACAGCAAAATTTTTAATTTAAGAAAAAATACGTCTGGGCGGCAAATTTAAGATTCTTTTTTTTTTCAGTGTATAACATCAGTTAACTTAAAATAAGTAACTTAAAATGATCCTGAAATTGACAGTAAATACGTGTAATCATCATGGCTGTTGGCTAAAAATGGAAAGTTTTACCCATCATAGCGAATTTTTGTACAAAGAGACCCGGAACACATAATGTAAAACAGTTTTACCCAAATTTTACATGAAAAAAACTTCTCAGAAGTAGGTTTTTTTGCGTGGTAAATGAAGGTACTGTTCCAAATTTCAGGCTGTACCTCCTAGGATTTGAGCCAGACGTTGTCGCACTGTATCCGGCAATTCAGTACCCAGTTCCAGCGGATACTCCCAACCTTCAACAATTTGTCACATGGGAACACACTGAGTCTTACGAACCACCAGAGAGTCAAGTATGATCTAAAATTAAACTGTAGAGTTAACACGTCATGCATCATGTGGATACAATTAAGTGAAAACTTTACTTGCCATGTTTCAATACTGGTCGGCGTTACACTTATTCCTCCCTCTACAAAATTTAGTAAAACTCCAAAGGAGAAAAACACTACGCAACTTGACCCAAGATTTATGTAACAATGCGGTAAAGTGACAATGGGTCAACACTATTTTGCAGGGAAAACAGGGCCAAATAGTTCTAGCGCTTCAATTACAGTCAAACATTTTTGAGCTTGAATAAGTATCAGTACAAGACTGATTCGTTTTTTAACGGACGAAAGGCTGCTGAAGAAGTTGCTTGATTGGGTTCCTCCTGGGAGGAGACAAAGGGGCGCCCAGTGAAAGGGTAGCGACAGGAGGTATTGGAAGAAATGAGGGTTTGCCAACTCCCTGGAGGGCTGTGGGAGGATAGGGGGCTTTGGCGGCTAGGAGTCGCAGAGCGCCAGAGAGCGCTATAAAAGCGGCTGTATACATACATACGAGACTGATGAAGGAGAGTGTTCAGCTCAGGCAGATGTAATGGAATAATAATAAGCTGACGCCGCGGAAAGTTTGAGCTGTAATGTCAAGCTGAGTCATGACGACGTCTTGGATTTTAAGGGATGCTACGTTGGGCTCACTGTAGCGAGTGTGATCTACCGATGAGGTATAAAAATACCAAAAACGTTGCAGATTTCTCGGCGTGACCTCAACTTAATATTCCAATGCATCTGCTTGAGCTGAACACTCTCCCCCTTCAGTCTTGTACTGATGATTGTTAGAGCTCAACATTTTTGACCGGAATTAAAATTTTTGGCATTGTTTTCATCGCAAAATGCTGTGGACCCAGTGCTATTTTACCACTTTGTTCAAACTCCGACTGATCAGTGCTCACTTCAGCTATTCACGATAAAAATTTGGTCAAAATCTGATTTGACGTCACGTCTATTGGTAAAAGACCAGAAAACTCAACTTCCGAGTGGATTTCCATGGTGAATCTTAGTCGGAAAAGTTTTTTTTTAATTTTATTTTTAAGGACATGACCATTCATCATACTGACAATTACTTTTGAACAAAATTTTGAATTATATTATTTTATTCTATTTGCGCTGCCTTTTTGAAGGGTTTATTGTATGTATAAGTTTTACGAAAAAAAAAAAGAATTTATGTACTAATCTCTTTTAAAAAATAAATGATAAAATCTGCATTGCAGATGACACTATCGTAATTAATGATGTACCACGCCGAATTATTCCCAATAGAATTAAACTGCACTTGTCGTTGTTTCATTCATATTTGTATTTTATTTTCATAGTTTTTTTTTAGTTTCAAGAAAAGATTGAATGTTTTTTTTTACATTACCATACTTAGAAGTAAGAGTTATTTTTTTACTCTCCATGTTTTTTTGTGGTTTAATCCAGATGGTTATAAGTCAACAAGAGAGATTTAAACTTGAACGGTCTTACTTTCTAGAGGATATAGAATACGCACTATTAGCCTGTGAGAAGACTGGATCACCCGTCCTCCCAGTGTCATTCTTTTTGGTAAGTTTTTCTAGATTTATATCAGACATGAAACGAGTCTGCGGGGCGAATATTGAAATGACATCGACTCTATGTCGCCGCTTTGTCGTGTAACGCCATCGACTGAGTCCCACTCAGTCGATGGCACGACACGACAAAGCGGCGACAGAGAGTCGATATCATTTCAAGAATCGCCCCGCTGTTGCTGACGTGAGAAACAGTCAACTGAATTTATCATAGAATGACGCAATTTTTCAAAAATCGAGTTAAGCACATCAAATGTCTAAAATCCGCTGCAGCAATGTAGCATAGTTTACATAGCTCTCTTTCAAATGTACTGAGTACGCAGGCTATATTTTTATTGGTACGCCAGCAATCGGGTTTGACTGGAAGAAGACTTGAGAGAACTTAACGTAGAGGCACAAACAACTACTCTTAAACTGTAACCAAATAAAAGAGTTTAAGGGACCTCCGTGTGCTATCTTCTGTGTTAGTAGAATTTGTAAATTGATAACTTGTGTTCTCTCTTTGGCACCCAAATGCTGGTTGGCGAGGACCAAACCTTTTGTGGTTGACGAGTAAAGTTAGAAGAGTTGAATTAGCAGATTTATTTAAATTTGAGCTCCAAAGGAAGTTTTTGAATCCTTACAAATGTGGGGTATTATAATAATTCCAGCTTTTCTGAAAACTTACGTTTGAGTGAAATTCTATCTACATCAATATTATAGTCGTCTCGCTATCCGTGCCTATTTGTCACGTGTTCACCTAAATATTTCCTATAACAATGCTCTCATAATCTATCCAGTTGCATGGTTTCTTACACATTGGAATAATGATGTAAGCCTGAGATAAATTTTGGTTTTCATCATCATTTCTATATGAAATGGTGTACATAGGAAGTTTGTATGTCACCAAAATGTTGTTTCGTGATCGTCATCATTTTAAATGCGAGTTACATACCTACGTTAATCATTCTAATCTGAGCACTTTGGTGGTCAGAAGTTTTGGATGGAAATAATCTACTTGACTATTTTCTGGGAAGAGCAAAACACGGTGTATATACAGGGCCGGATTTACCTACATGCCGCCCATGGGCCGCCTGTATTTTGCCACCCCCTTCTTATTCGTTTTGAGACATCAATAAAAACCATCAAGTGAACGTGTCAGCGGGGGAGGAGTGCATAAGACGCATTTACTCGTGTTGGATACATTTTTTGCGAGAGCCCTATCAACACTACCAGCACACATTTATGAAACTTAGCGCGGAAGTTAAGTTCCGTAAACCTGTCTCTAAGTAGACAAGGCCTTCCGTTTATAAGGAATGAACGAAAAAATTATGAAAGAACAAAAATAAATGTGGTTTCATAATTTTAATGACCGGCGCCGCGCCGCGTTGACCGCACTGTGTTTGACGCAATGCGTGAAGTATTCATGCAGTCTTGTAGGCGCTAATATGTGTCACATGCCGACCGCCGCGCCGAGGGCTTCTCCTTTTCATCTGAAGTCCTCGTGGTCATCATGCCTCTCTGCAGGCTAAATCGTGTGTTTGGTTTCTCTCTTAACTTGACTAATTAGAGGTGCAGTCTCTTGTATCACCGAAAGACGACAAAATTAGCGATTACTATACTCTCACGAAAAAGAGATTTCTCTCGTTGGTAATTTTTTTTCTGAATCCGATTTTTTTCATACCTGCATTTAAAAAAATTGTAAAATTCGCCGCCATGGGCAACGGCCCATGTGGCCACCCCCTTAATCCGGTCCTGTGTATATATAAAGTATTTTTTTTAAGGATATCAGGAGAAAGCCTCTTATCTATACCGATGAAGTCATTACAATAGATACAAAGATAATACGATACAAAGGGCGATTTTTAGTAAAGCTTTGCTTTTTTTTCAAGACAGAGGTGTGGAATATTCTTGCAAATGTCAATGAGAAGTCGTTTGATGAATTGCCCGTCCAGTTTGAGGACGTCCAAATTTTATCCAATATCAACCACTTCGGAGAAGGTAAGGATATCTCTAGAAAAATGTCTTCCAAAGTCGAAATTCCAAACTATTCCCACCCTGTTTTGCAATATCTGGCAATTCATTTATTGTAATGCGCCAAATAATATTTAAAGTATTTTAAGATTGCTTCCTCGAACTTAGATTTAGCAAGACATGAGTAGAATGTCTAATTACTAAAATTAATAAAAATAATAAGATTCTTTAAAAATCCTCAGCACCTAACACACTTCTGTAAATCACGCTAGTATTGATACGCAGGCACAGCATTCTCATTGTAAGTATATTCAAATTATATATTAGAGGTTGCACATACTATTTGCAGGTCAGCCTTTTATTTATTGAATTTTTTATTGCAGGATTTGGTCAAATTTGGATTCAAATTCTCCCGGGTACCGGCGAGTTTTCTGTATTCCAAGAATGGGTACAAGAAAGAGAAAAATCGTACAGCACAGAGGTCAAAACAGTCGATGAAGTGACGCCAAGCAATATGATTTTAACAGGAAAAATTAAAGAGTGGGAAAATCCGGAAAACCCTTCAACCTATGCTGATCTATTCAACAGTGATAAAATGGGCAAAGTGCGAAATGGAGGTCAAGATAAAGACTTGTCTGATGCAATGAAATTTACCAATGGATTTCAAACAAAGCGCATATCTGATTGGCATTTAAGTGATCAAGGCAAGTCAAAAATCTTCCCGCTTGTCATTCTCAGTGATATACTTTCCCTCACATTGATTTTATAGTCAAAAATGCGCTTTCACCGTCGCTCTTTTCAAAAAAAAAATCGAAGACAACGAATTTAACAAATAAAAATAGAATATTTGAGAATTTAACAATAACATCTCTACGAATAATTTTTGGAATTGCTTAGATTTTTATGAATAAATCGACGGTGAAATTGCTGAGATGCGTATGTAGCTCGGTTTGCGGCGTTGTGGCCATCCTGTCATACTGTATTTTCTATACATTAAGAACTACTGAACGTCATTTGTTGAAAATTTAAGTGCTTTAATCAATCAAAAATATTCTGTTGAAACTACAAGGCGTGATGTTTGTTGGTCTCCTTTTAAACAATAAAATAGTAGCCAAGATTTCGAAACCTCGCAACCAAGATACGTGTTTTTGTAGTTTATTCACCGTCGATATGCGAGCTCTCAATAAGAAAGGCAATTGAAGAGAGAGGGCATTTCAAGCGTCAAATGTATTCTAAGGGAAAATAACTAAATCGAAACCTACGTTAAAATTTAAAATAAAGAAGGGAACATTTTTAGCAACAATTTTTGGGTCACAATTTGTCAAAAACTTGATGAAAATTGAGGAACGTCTGGAGGAAAAATTTGCCTGGCTGTGCGGGTTTTAGAAAAGAAGATTTAAGAAGATTTCATTTTCACGTGACAGATACCTGATATTAAAAGGAATGACGGGTGTACAAACCAGAGAATATGCATCAAAAAATATTTGAACATCCCTTAAATAATTGTATTGAACTTTTAAACTCGATTTTCTTCTTCCTCTTTAATAATAGGACTTATTGGGAATATGAAATGGGACCCTAACTGGACAATTTATCTGGACACTGCCATAAGGTTAAATATCTTGAGGGATACACTCATTACTAATCAAATGGTACAGCCAGCTTCCATTCAGTCCATAAAAGTCAATCCCGGACCACTAAAAGGCTGCACAAAAGGTAAAATTACAGTTATTTGCAAATATTTGTTCTTATGTACTTAACTAGGAGGCTACGCCCCTTGACCGTTTTATGCCTCAAGCGTTATGCGTTATGCTTACTCTTATGATTTTATAATATAGAGTATAATAAATATCTGAATGTATGTGAAAGTCGATAAAGAAAGAGATCTTATTCTAAGAAAGCAAACTGGAATATATGTATAGAACCGCTGCTTGCTGAGTGTCTTATAAATATTTTAGAGCCATACCTAATACGCCGAATAATGTTGATGAAATTATGATTATGACGGTTTGAATTTTAGGAGGAGCTATTTGAAATTTAACAATCCATAGAAATAATTGTAAATTATTGGAATGTTCAATGTGCTTATTTTCATAATAACGCACACATGGTGCACGACGTATTTTTGGGACACTAGACAGTCTTTCCAAGATGCTCCAATTTCGCTGTTTCGAAATGTCTTTAAAAGAAATGCAGTTCTAAAACATTTTCCTTGAGGGAGGGTATTTTGCTTCAGATATGTTCAACGGAAGTCATTTTTACCATGAATTGCAGAATTTTGACACACAAATTTCGAAAATATTTGGATGTCGGATGTTAATCAATTGAAATCCATGCTACGCTTACAAAATCACAAACTTTTTTTCTTTCAGTCAAAAAAACCACCACAGCTTTTTTTGAAAAAATTGACAAATTTAAGATAATTTACTTGTTTCATAGGGTCAAAAATAAATTTCTTTGTCAATACGGTTGTTCGGCATCTTGAATGTGATGGGATCACAATTTATGGTCTCAAGACTACACCAATCACAGAAACAATCATAAATGCGGATGAAATCCAGATAGAACGAGTTCTTTTTGTGCCATACGGAGAAACTATGTTCAAGGTAAGAATCAAAGAGAAAAAATTAGAATAATGAATTTAGATATCGATTGTCAGGCTTGTCAAAGTGCGAAACAACGTGTCTCCATTTGCGACTGAACATATTCCCTGTGCCATACTTTATCTATTCTTCGGAACACAAGTGAACTAAAATGTTTTAAATTTTTTTGGTTTTTCTTCTTTGTTACCACAATATTCGCTATCAATGTCAAGCTATAAAGTTGGCTTGACTCTCTTCAAAAAAATAAATTTGGAGTGGAAATTTTAAAACATTGCAATGGAGATATGTGATTTCGCACTTTTGCTATTAACATACCAGCACCACTCCGACTATATACAAATTAATCAGAATGAAAGACATTCATTCCATTCTTCGTCAAGAAAAAAGGTTAGCAAATACAGTTCTTATAATTCTGGTGGGATTTGCTAAATGAGACGGAATATCTTGACATTCAAACCATTAAAACTACGAAAAATATATAATAAAAAATCAATACATCACTGAGAAGTGAAAGACTTAATGTTTTTCTACAAACCGGCAATTCTTTAGGGGACAGAAATCACTTGCTATATATCCTTATAAATTTAGCGCCATGGTCTGTTTTATAGTGAATAACTGTCATGGTTTTTTTATAAATAACTATCATTTCTTTCTTTCACATCAGGCTTTCATTAGTTTAATAATTTTATTATTTCTTCGGATACCGAAATGATATCATTCATGACAAACTTCATTTCTTGTGTCATTCTTCATCACTTGTATTTCATGATTTTCTTCTTTTAGAACCCACATGAGTTTCTGCGGGTAAGTCTCCAAACCATTGTAGAAAATTCGAATCACGCCACTGTCACAACGGCAGACAAGCCCCTCCAAATTCATATTTCTGGTGAAAAAAGTGGACGGCTAGTTCCTTCATTACCAGATATCTTTTCAGAAGTCCTTCGGTCAAATGACAACAACCTACATGTAAGTTTTTAAACAGATTACCATAAATGAATCGAAAGATCCTTCAGAACTTCATTATTATGTGAAGTTTCCAATATTATTTATTTATTCATTCTTTTTTTGAGCTCTAAGTATGACACTTCTGATTTAAGATAAAAAAAATAACAATGCACCTAGGATTATCAAAATTTCACTTGCAAACAAAAGAAATAAACCCACATTTCAAAAATCAATGACAAGCATGATAAGAATTTATATTAAAAAAAAAAAAAAAAAAAAAACCAGTAGCGAGCTCCAACACAATGTGTTGATAAGGCGCGTCATTAACTCGTGTATCAACCTGGTTAATTTTCAATTACAGAGATTTTGTTGTAAGAAATTAGCACATGAAGAGAGTGCACGATCGCAAAATCGCACAAAATTGTCTCTACTCCTCTCTAGAGGCTACGGAGAGTGGCGTGGAAGTGAGATTGGCTTTAATTCATCGGTACTGCGCGCCGTTTATTCAAGCAACATAATCGGGTTCTGGGCCTGCTGTCCATTAATTGTTATAAAAATTTTGAAAGTTGAGAAATATTTGTCGACCATTTGTTTCGATTTCGTTGACTTTCCGTATTCGAAATACATCGACGGTGTAAGTCGGCAATCACACAACTCGTTTGCGGTGTCTGAAAATCTCCGCCTCTGTGTTAATTTTTTAAAGGAGAACAAATTGCCATCATTCCTTGAAATTTTTGCAGAATTTTCTTAGCACGGAGATGAAAAATCATGGCAAATTTAAAGAATTGCCGTTGAGTAGTTTTCCGTTAAAAAAATAAAGTATGACAGGAAGTCTGCGACGTCGCAAACCGAGTTATGTGATTGCCGACTTACACCGTCGATATAGTAAATGGACAATGAAAGATCCGGCAGACGACGACAACGCGGATAGATGACGTCAATCATCGGGTAATCCTACCAGCTCTCTACTCGACGATCCTCGGGAGAGCAGAAAGGATACTTTAGCAACGAAACTATTTATCGTTATCTTTGTAGAAAGTCCTCGAAACTTACTTCTAGAACTAGAGTACCTGTTTACGGGAGAGTATTGCCATCTCAATCATTTTACTGAGAAAAAGTGTGCCGCTCTCTGATTGGTCCGCTATCATGGACCCCCAAAGTTGCCCAAATGTAAACAAACCCCAACCTCTCCGCTCCTAGTTTGGTCCGATGTAAACAAACAAGATGGCGACAAAGTTCTGCAAACTTCTATACGTGATTTTGAAAATGATAGACATTTTTTTATACCCGACTTCTGAACTTTGATGGATATTTTCGCCTACCTTTAATCTACCTTTGAGTGTGATTATCATTCATATCTCAGCTGAGAACACATGTCCCCATGGGACTGGTTTATTGACATCAGGCCAACTTTGGAGCTCCGTGACAGCCTAAAACTGATGAACCAATCAGAGAGCGGCACAGAGATGACAATACTCTCCCGTATTTAGGTGCTATTTATAGAACGACCCTCGCATAATTAAACACCGTGTTATGTTTATAAAGATGCGTAAGCATGGTTTAAAATCGGCTTTCTAGAGGCGCGGCTAGTATTCTTTTTTTTTTGACTGTGCTGTGAACAATACTTTTAAACCGGTCTTGCATGAATTTAACCGTTTTTCATAACCTTTTTGCCCATAGGTGGAAATGATTCCTGATGATCTGTCCAAAGTTAACTGCTTAATCACAGGATCTTACCTATCTATCGTATCTGATCTGAAATCAATACCGTCTCTAACTTCTCGTAAGAACTGTGATGAAGCCTATCTTCTCACTATTACGCCTGCTCAGATTCAGATGAAAGATGTGAAGCAGGCAGCTCAAAGCTGTGGAAACCACTATGCGGTGATATATGAGCAAGTATTCGCTTCACTCCGATACGGGCTCTTGAAGAAGGTGAGCCTTAAAAAATACCGCAGTTGAGTTACGAGCTTGGGAAAAGTATTATTTAAGGAACTAATTATGGTGGATAGGGGGTCTGAACATTTCTCACCGGGTTTTACCAGTCATTGAGGGTAAAGGGTTTTAAGTCAGCCTAATTCCAACTTTATTTGTAATAAACATCGTTTTCCCAGCTGTTTTCTTCCTTTCCCCGTTATTTCGTGGGAAATTGATGAAGAGAGTGTTACACGATCAATCTTTCAAAATTCAATAATGAGATAAAAGGTTGATTTGCAATTCTTCTATAAGAAGGGAGGGGATCAAAAAGTCAGTCTAACTTCCTTACATAATGCTTAATACCCTTCTAGTATAAAATGGATTCCCTTTTGCAAAAAGAAATCAAGAGCATTCCAATGTCGCTAAGATTGTGCAACTTTTTTCGCCTTGCAAATACATACTGATCACCTCAATACGTTTAATCTTTGCTCCTAATTGAACTATTAATTAAAGCCGAAAATTACCTCTGTAAATTTAATTTTTTCCATAATTTCAGTGATTTTATCGCGAAGAATCCAAGTTGCACGGTCCTATCAATACTGGAATGCTCATGGTTCCTTTTTGCGAAATACAATCCAACTATTATTAATCATTAATTCTGAAATATACACAGTGGATCATGGAAAACGATTGTTTTTTTCTCTCTCTCTCTGCACTTTCCGCAGATGTCATTACGAGTCCTGCAAGAGCGACAAAATGTCGATCAGAGCTAAGAAAAAAATAATAACTACCTCATCTTTACCTGAAACTCAACATACATACCTCTAGATGGACGTATTTCTATCAAACAGACCTATGTGGAGGTGAGAAATATGGGGTATGCTCGTGAGTTCTCTGGCCATAAGAGTGAATGAGAATATTAAAGCGCCAGTGACGTCAGCGGCAATGAAAAAGCCGCCCGGCGCAACGTCGTCGTCGTCGGCGTCGTCGTCGGGGGGCATTAACTCATGAGCCCTGTCCACAACGCTCTCTTGCCATGCCCGCGGCTCATGAATCTCGCATTCAGTTGGCACATAGGTCTGTTTGATAGAATGTAATATCCCGCTTTTCCAATTCTTCAAAAGGAATCACGCCCACTTTTACATTGCTTCTTATGCAGATTTCTAGAGCACACCCCATATTTCTCACCTCCACATAGGTCTGTTTGGTAGAAATACGTCCAGATCGTCTTACACTATTCTGATTTTGAAATCGAGGCAATTAATCATAAATATTTATTAGAGACGAAATAAGTGCAATGATGTTGAAAGATACGTAACGAAGGTGATATTCTTCTACACTTTAGGTATTGAGCTATACTTATGCAGAATCTTGAAAAAGCAAATTTTAATAGAATAGAGTCGCTTTCAAAAATCGACATGAAGACCAATTTAACTTATCGATAAAAATATTCTTATAATTTGCAGAGAAACCATCCAAAGCAGTTAAGACTCTGTTACATCTCAGAAGACGTACATTCCAGTTTGGAGGCTTTGCGTTTGAAAGAGAACTCTGACAGTAAAACGGTGATTTTGATCGTCCAAAAACCTCCACCTGCAAACCCTATTATTACCATCCAAAGGATATTGAGAGAGACGGAAAAAATTGGCCTCAAGTTGGTACTTTCTATTGAATGTTTTTATTTATTTCTCATTTTCATTCACGTATTTTCAGATCTGTTTCAATAAATAGTTCAAAAATCGGTGGTAATTTTAGTATAAATTGAAGCAGCAGCTATTAGAATGTATGTTTTTGAACATCCCGGTGGAAAGAAAAAAGACGGTTACTATAAATTAGGTGCTTGCGGAAGTCAACAAGCTTGTTGATTATTCCAAACTAGAAATCATTTATCAGGCAAGCCTCTTGATACTTGTTTAACCGAGAAAGATAGTTTAGGAATACATTTACGGATGCGTTTCAAATGCAAGTACTCTCACGCATCTAATGATACATCTGACGATTGTTTCCAAAATAATCCTCTTAACAGTTGAATCATTAATTGTACTCAAAATGTGATGTACCAAAGTCGAGGAAACGTCTTTCAAGTAGAAAGAAAAACAAACCATTAGATAGCAGAGTCTCAAGAATGTTAGAGAACATTAATAATTCTTATTCTTTATTATTTGACGTTTGCCTATGATGCTTGATTTCAGATGTCACCTATACCTTATGTTAGACGACGACGTCCCCACCTTCTCTCCAAGCAGCAACTTCTATCGCGAACAAATAGATCGAGAGATGACCGTGAACGTACTGAAGAAAGGCAAGTGGGGTAGTTACTATAAAATCCCTATCCAAAAAAAGACGCACGAAGAAGTGGACCAACTCGTCACTCTCGTTAACCATCCAACGGATGTGGATTTTAAGTTCATCGGTTTAAACCCAGTTGTCAAAGAACTCGGAAAGGAGGTAAGTTTTACTGTGGCATACATGCATATTGACGGTGAAAGTCCACAACCTCGGATCTTGGAAACCCCGATTTTTCAGGAAAGCTAAAAAAACTATTTTAAATATGCTTGAAGGTAGAATTGGAATAATTATCTTGTATGGCAAGGATAAGATGGACTGTAAGACCAATTTCGACACCGATTTTCTCCCGGCTGTGAGGAAAAAAGAAAAATTGGCAACGTCCCAGCAATCATGAACAACTATGTGAAAAATGGGAGGATAAATGAGAGTTAAAAAAGACATTGCTTCGCAAGTAGGTGATGGTGTACATGTTGAAGTTGTAAAGGGCCCCGCGTTAATTTAAAAATTCGTAAAATTTAGCAATTTGAAATCTTTGTAAACACTGTTAAATGTATAAATAGATTAAAAAAAATTATAAGAAAATTTTGGGTGACTTTTCGTGAGAAACGATTGAAACAAAATGAAGAATGTCGATTTTAAAGTTCGCAACTTTCCGAATTTGACTGCGAAGGAAGTCAAATAGACTCACGGGGGGTCAATCAAAGTTTTTTTTTTTTTTGTTTTTTTTTTAAGAATGGCCCTCAAACGTTTGGCTGTGTTAACAAGATTTGGTTTAAGTACATCAAAGCTTGGTTAATTTTATCTATTTTTGTCCTCAACTTCTCAAAGCTCAGCCACCGTTTCTCGCTAGGACAATCTAAAACGACGCTAGACACCATCAACATTCTTGGTCATGATTGCTTGGACGTTACCAACTAATCTTTTTTTCTCACAGCCGGGAGTGAACCAGGACCCGGAAGAGAACCAGACAATTCCCATTCCGAGACATGTGGTTTGAGAATTACTGTTTCAAACCTATTCTTTGCCAATTTGATTGAATAAACACTCATAATAGAGTTTAACAGAACTGTGTACCCGAATTTGGCTCTAAGATTTAGTTGACCCCACAGTGGGATGGAACATCGTACGTTGCGGATAATTTAGTTACATCTCAATACTCTCAATACTTTGCTCGCTTTCCTTTTAAGTAAATTATTTATTTATTTGGAGACATAAACTGCGATACGCAATTTTGAGGAGTGGTCAAAAGTTTTTCCGCACTCTGACCCCTTCAATGGTGGACATGGCCACATTTAAAACAAGAGAAACAACTTATAACGGGACTGAGGCCGCAAATAATAAAATAAACACATAAAATAAAATAAGAAACCCAGGACGTTTCGCAGAGTTTTGAGTTTTTTCTTAGAGTTTTTGAGTTTATCTTGTTTTGCCGGTTGAAAATGCGGGTGTAATCCCTGCGAAACGTCCCGGGCTTCTTATTTTATTTTATGTGTTTCCTTTATTACTTGCGGCCTTAGTCCCGTTTTAAGTTGTTCCTCTGTCAGTGTTTCGGGCCGATTAAGTTGTTTTTTAAAACAAGAATTGATAACGAAGTCCGAAAATAGATAATTAAATTAATCACATCATCATTAATTGTTTGAAACAGGAGGCACCTACTCTGCTTGACTACTCTGGCATTTCGCTATCAGGGCATCCAGTGATGGGAATCGCTTACAAACCAAAAGGATTTGGAGGAAAGATCTCCATCGATCCTGTATTCCAATGGATTGTTCCACCATCTGTTTCCCTCGTTGGGGCAGCTGCTCTTCCGTCCGCATATTTAATGGTGCGTCATAGATGAGCTATATTTTACCCTCTCTGTAAAATTTCGTTGTTTTGGGTAATTCCATTTCCCGTTCCTCCGATGGTCCATTCCTGGTTCCGAGTTTTTATTTTTCAATTGAAATGCTGGTTGTCTAAATGTACGCCCAATTTTGTTTGTGATGACATGAAGATTGGCTGAAACAGCGAGTTACAGGCTGCATCAACCACTGGAGAAACAACGGATTGGATCTAGAGTTCAGACTCTTAAAAACATCGACAAGAAAAAATACTCTTGATTCAATCAGATTTAAGCTTAAATCAAGAACCAGGCCTCTTAATTTGAGCGGATTTCCTTTCGATTTAAGCTTAAATCTGATTGAATCAAGAGTCTTTTTTCTTGTGAATATTTTCAAGAGTTTGGACTCTAGATCCAATGTTTTTTTTTTTCCAGTGACCGTGTAAACGCTGCTGGTTTCATCATAACTCTTTACTGCTCATGATTTTCACGTTCCATCCCTAGGAGGACATTGACTTGAAATTAATCTCACTCCGGGGGAGAGAGAGGGGGGAGATAGAGAGAGACTTCAAAAGAATATTGGTATTTGTGTGGTAATTATAAAATATACAGTAATATATTGTGGCTTAAAAGGTGTTGGTGAGAGAGGGACCATTCAAAAGCAATCCAAAATGGGCAATTTCTTTCAATTTTGTTTATCAGGATAGTATTTCCAAACAATTCTTCCATCATTGATCTCATGCAGGTAGATCCATCAAATTTTCTGAGTACTCATAGCCTAAAAATATATGCACCTTTGCTTGTGAAATAAATGAAATGTTTCTTTTGTTCAGGCCCACATGATAATGGACAAAATAATAAGATGGCCGCTCATTAAGTCGGCTTTTATACTGAACGGACAAACGCCTATCGGAATTGCATGTATATCCGTATGTCTCAACATGGGCTATGATGTCTACGTGACTATTCCGAACAAAGCAGCTAGAAAACTCTTGATGATTCTCTTTCCTGAGGTATGTTTGTCCCCCACAAAGTTACAAATTGTTGATTATCACTAAACTTTCCTTGTATTGATTTATATTGTATATTATAAAAATTATATTATATGATATTTCTTTGCTTAAAAAAAAATATATCTTCATTTCCGTGTATGATCACCTGCAAAAAATCTGTTCTTTCGGCAATGAACTTATTAAAAATTAAACGACTAATGGTAAACAGTTAATCTCCCTTCTAATGATGTGTCGCCTCTTGGTAGGGCAGTAAAATGGCCAAGATGACCACCATTGTATGAGCGCAAGTAAAGAATCTGTTTTTAAGCGTGCCAGTAGGGCTCGCTTTTTGAAATCACTCGGATATACCATAGTTCAGCACACAGATCAACCAATGCTATTCAACGGGTCGTCCAAATACTTTTTTCCTCCCACCCGTTTCTTTGTCTTTGAACCATTACACTGTCAAGCCCTGATGGTTTTTTACCAAAAACTCTAATGAACTGCTAATTGGAAACCCTTGAGAACATTTTTCTGTCAAAACCGTATTATTCAATTTGACAGAAACCTCATAGGAGCTTTCTTACGCTCGGAGGACTCAACTCTAGAACCTTCTTTCCCGCCAAAACTCTATAGCCAATGAGCGTCTTGCACTGTAAGTGCAATGCAATCTGTGATGAACCTCGTGACTCATTATACTATGTACTAACCATGGCCCCTGCCGAAATCCACTTAAACCACTACAGTTATTTCGCGATATAGCTTTGGGTGTCCGGTTTCGAGCAAGGCAATAAAAGACGGCGAGGCGATTAACCGATTAACCATTCACCGTGATGCCAGGATCCACCAAATTTTCTCAAAAATTGTTTTCCGTCTATTTAGCGAGTTTTTCTTTACTTTCCGTTGAAGTACAAATAAAAAGAGACCTCATTTGTACAAATCGGCCGAATAGGAGAGAAGTTACAGTTCGAAATCCAAAAGAGATTAACTGAACGCGATTTCGATGCATGGCAGTTCGCCCAAATCACGGTCGTGCGCAAATGCCGCATATCAGCTTAAAATCAATATAATTGGACGGAATCTTTAAAATTAATGTACAATCAACGTTCATGAATCAATATTTTCTCCCAAATTTAGCAAAAAGTACCAATTGATGTAAAAAGCAAAGACGTGAAAATAAGAGGTATTTGTCCAACATTTCAGTTATTCGGCACGCTTTTCCAACATACTCATGTTGGATTTTTTCTTCTTGTTTTTTTTTCAGATACCCGGTTCGCATATCACAGACCATAATAACGAGGACTTCTACGTGCCCATGATGCTCGGGACAGGCGGGTTGGGGGCGGAAATAATCGTAAGTGACCTGCCCCGACGTCAAATGCTTACCGCGTGGAAGTGCATCGGGGAATGGGGCAACTTTGTGAATCTCAACGAGGAGACCATGGACCACAACGCACCACTTCCTATGGAGGGATTCAGAGTCGGCACCAACTACTACGGTGTTAAGCAGTTCAATGTAATAGACTTACCCAAAGAGCATAAACTCCGCCTTCACGCCCTGGTCAGCGAGAGCTTGACATCGGACCGAATCGTCCACATGCCGCATCAAATTCTTGACGCGGATAACCTGAGCCAGTTACCGCGGTGCGTATACGAAGAACTTTATAATGTACAATCATCATGAGGCAGGTCAATTGCATAGAGAAAAAAAGGAGGTGTTTGCATCTTGAAGTTTGTTTACCCTATGACGTAGGTCGGTACAACCTGGCCAGCGAAATCCGGAATTCGAAGTATGAAAAACGGACCATAATGTCCCATTTTTTTGCTTAAATCAACTCTCGATGTAATTTCAAGCACTTTTTATAGAATGACTTTTTTCTATAAATTACACCATTTCCAAGAAAATCGATGATAAACGTAGCTGTGCCGACCTACGTCATTTAAAAAATTCCAAGATGCCCGAAATGCAAACACTTCCTTTTTTTTCTCTATGGGTCCATTGAGCTCTTGCAAGCTGCAAATATTTCCGATTTAGATACTTAACTTATTGTACAATATCGCAACAGACACAATGGTGTCCCTTTCTTTCTTTGAATCGAACTCCCTACTTCTCGAACAGCTCTAGTATTCTGCCGCACGTACGTACATACATACATACATACATACATACATACATACAAGTCGCTTTACAGCACTCCCTCGCGCTCTACGACTCCTAACCTCCACTGCTCTCTTTCAAACCACAAATCTTGGGGGATTGAGCACCTCAACATTTCTGCTTCAATCCCGTCCCTCCAACCTTTCATTGGGCGCCCTCTGCGTCTTCTCCCAGGAGGAACCCAGTCAAGGACCTTCTTCGGCAACCTGTCTCCTGCCATTCTCTGGACATGACCATACCAGATGAGTTGTTTTGTCATAATGTCATGCACGATGGTCTGCTTGGCATCCATGATATCCCGTACCGTCTCATTCCTGACGCGATCCTTTCTGGAAATACCAGCGGATCTACGCCAGAAGTCCGCACGTACGTACTCAGGAAAAACGCCGTATGAACATTCGAGAGTTACCAAATTTTACCGCATAAAACATGTATTTTTGAAGAAATTGTTCTATCTTTTCCCTTGAAATCTTTAGATATTTTAGTTTAAATTGTAAGCAAAATTGCCTGAAAATGTTAAAGACAAATGTTCACCATTTTTCCGGTGAATTCGCTTTTCATTGAAGAAGATGGCAACGTCTGGAGGCTCATACGGCGTTCTTCCTTAGCACGGCAGTGCTAGAGAGGGGGGGCAAAAAACGTCGTTTTTGCACCAATCTCTTTGCTTCGAGCAAATTGCGGTTTGAAGTACACTCTGTTTACACCTATGCGAGGCATGAAACCTTGTAAGTCTTTATTCGAGTTTTTGATTGGTTATCATTATGCGCAACGGATGACTGCGCACTTCTCTCGTATAATTTTTATGAATCTCGCATATGGTCTATCATCGGTTAGTTTTGCAGCCCATCAGCCACCATGAGCAAAATTCAGGTATTAGAACGGTGTTTTTTGGTTCCCACGGCATCTTAATTGGATTTTTACGGAGAATGCAATCAATTTATTTCAGCTCTTGTTCCAAGAATAAGTTGTATGTATTTGAAAATTTTATTTGACTCATACCCTGGTAAAAATTGGCGATAAGAGCTGCGTTTCAAAATGCCATAGGAGTTCTTATAGCCGACTAAAGAAGGCTATTGAAAATCATATAGCTGGCTGTAGAAAGCGGAGAAAATCATATAGCCGGGCTATACGAAGCTATAAAAAAGTATACAGTCGGGCTATAGTTCCTATCGCTGGGCTTTACACTTTATCGCCATTGCCTATAAAAGGCTATAAAAAATTGTGTAGAAATTCGCGTGCTTTGGAAATCATTAAGTTTGATAAGGAACTACCTTAATATTTACAAAACACACATTATATTTTCCTTTAAAACATATTTTTTTCATCAATTAAAATGAGAATAATCCATACAGAGTGTGCAAACATTTCAAAATCATGAGTTGAAAGACGCTGACTCCGCGAGATTAAATATTAGATCCTAACACAAAGCGGAGCGGCGACGCACTGACGCCTACAAAACTAACAGGGATACTTCACGCATTGCGCAATGCGTGAAGTATCCCTGTTAGGTTTGTAGGCGCCAATGCGCCTTTCACGCTCTCTGCCCGTCCGCCGCGCCGCAGCGTGCCATGGCGTCTGATGCAACTATTTCACACCAGAGGTATTGCACAGTATCAAAGAAATTGAAGGCGCTCCAACATATTAAGAATGACAGGCATCCTTCAAAAGTATGGAGCTTTCCTCGCAAAATAAATCAAGATACTATGGCACAAAAAGAGAGCGGTAGTCCACAAACTATCTAAGTCCTAGTATCCGTATTTAATAACGTTTAGCATAAACTTTATCGTCTGGCTGTTGCTTAATCGTCATCGGCTATAGAAGGCTGTAAAAAATTAGGTGATAGGTCAAAATGTCCAAAAAAAAATGTCCAACAAGCAAGAATGTCCAGAGTTGAGAATGTCCATATTGTAAAAATGTCCAAGTATCTTAAATGTCCAATACTGGTTTTTTGGCCAAAGACAAAAATGCCCAAAAGTCCATTCCCTTTGCAAAAAAATTAGAAGGTGGCGACATTGTCGGCTTGAATACTAAATAAATTCGAATCCATGGAGACGACGGGGAAGATTTGAGAATCTTTTTTTCTTGAACTAACCTCAGTTGTGAAACTTTTTGGCTTTTGTAAAATTTTCGTTTGTTAAAAAATGCGGTAAAACCAATTACAGGGGCAAAATTTTACAATTTGTGATTTTTTTATGATTCTAAACTAAACTAATTGGTGAAAACTAAAAAAATTGGTGATTTTATTGTGATTTTTGTGATGGCGAACCCAACGCTATTGAAAAGCCAAAAAAATAAACCTGTTCTTATTCATGATGACTTTCTGTATCAACGCCACTCAGCAAACAAAGTGAACACTGTAATTTACTGGAGGTGCCATAACAGGGGTAGCTGTGATGCTCGATGCTCGACAACAGGAAATTTGGAAAATATTCAAATAAAAACCAGCGGGAGCCATAAGCATACACATGCGCCTGACGTTGCCAGTGTTGCTGTGAGAACGTTCTTGTCTCAACTAAAAGAATATGCAACAAATGCACCAAACGAAGGAGCAAGTAACATAGTGAGGGATCACGTTGCTACAATAGACAATGAAGAGGTTTTAGCAATGATGCCCGAGAGAAATTATCTCCGTCGAACAGTCAATCGAGTTCAAAATAAAACCCGGCCTCCATTGCCAAAGAGAATCAATGACATCGAAATCCCGCGGAGGCATCGACGAACAAAAACTGGTCAGAGATTTTTAATGCATGATTCTGGTGCAGATGACCCTAACAGAATTCTAATCTTCACAACGGTCGCAAACATGCAAAAGCTAGCAGCCAGTATCATAATGTTTAGCGACGGAACTTTCAAAATAGTGCCGCACCAGTTTTTACAACTTATGACGATCCACGGTATCTTTTGGGCATTTTTGTGTTTGGCCAAAGAACCAGTATTGGACATTTAAGATACTTGGACATTTGTAAAATAGGGACATTCTCAACTCTGGACATTTTTGCTTGTTGGACATTTTTTTTGGGACATTTTGACCTATCACCAAAAAGTATACAGCCGGCTACTTAAGCTATTGGAAATCTTACAGCCGGCTTTAGGTCTATGGTATTTTGGAACACAGATTCTTCTGCCAATTTTTACCAGGGTATGCTTTCTGTTGCCCTGCTCAATCTCTACAACTCGTCTCGAGAGAATGAAAAATTCTGAGGGCGAGCTTTTCCAATAAACATAACAATAAGTGTTGAATTTCCCTGCTTGTCTATAAGTATGGTCAGAATATATACTTGGTTTACCGGATTTAAACGGACTGATCTAAATTCTTAAAGAAAAATTTAAGAGGGATTAAGTCCATAATTCTGTCCTAAAATTAAATACCATTGCACAACAATCCAACAATTATATACTCTGAACATGGTGAGTTTAAATTTGAATTGCCTTCCCTGAAATAAAGTTTTTTTAAAGTGCGAACTGCGAAACAAAAAAACTTCAGTTTATTCTAGTCGTATCTCTCATCCGAAGATTTTTTTTCAAATTTTGTCACAGGTCCCTTGAGCTGATTACAGAACAAGGTGGAAAATTACTGCTGGATGTAAGTAAAGATTACGCTGGTAAAAAGACCCACAAATCGACACGAGAGAAACTTAACGGGTTGAATGGACACAGTGAATGGGTCGCAAATGGAGACGCTCACCACACTTACATCATTCTAAGTAAGCACTTGCAAACGAAAAAAAATAAAATAAATTCAAAATTTAACTAAAATGGTTATTACAATTAAGCCAACCAAATGAAAATTGTAAAACGGAAATCTTTACAAATTAATTTATAATTTTCAGCGATCTCGCATTAAAAATTTAGCCGTGAATCATAGTTTATCATTAAAATCAAAATAAAAAATAACACATATCCGTGCATGTGCTTAGGGGCAAAACATAAATTTTATAAGAAACCGCAATTTTGGTGTTTTAATTATTACGTTAAGAGACGCAATTACTTTGTTTTATTATCCGTCAAGAGATGGAAAGATACCACTTTCCGAAGGATCTCTACCATGACAGATAACCATGTGGCGGGTAGGCGGCGCATAGTGCCGAAGAACGCTGTAAAAGCGACTTTCATGTAAGTAATTATTGCATGCTTCTTATGATTTATCTTAGCTTGGACGCTTATAAAATATACATTGCTTGCTTATTATAACCTTGTTGTAATGATCAATGTATTTATTTCAGCTATAACTGCCGGGAAAGCAGTCAGTACAATAGATTGGTTACTGGAACGTGGCGTAAAAAAAATTGTCATGGCCACATTGGACATGCGAGGCGGTGAAAGTGCAATTCGGAAAATAAATAATTCTACTATAAAGCACGATGCTATGTTCCTTATGGTATCCAACGATATGATGAAGACGGCCTCAGGCGTGAAAAAACTGCTCGGAAAAGCAGAGAGACTAGGAAAAATATCAACGATTTTGGCAATCTCACTGGTGAGTGCGTTTTGATAGTATATGAGTATTCGAGAAATCCAGGTGAAAGTGGTTGCCGCTTTCAGAGAAGGGGGGAGGGGGAGGGAAAAGCAGAGGCAAGGAGGAAATAACATACATGGTAGAAAATGTATTGATATTTCCTTAAGAAAATTGTCCTTTCTTAATAGTTTATTGTGAACTTCTAATCTAAGAATTATACGCAATGTCAATAAATTATGAATAAGGCTGAGTATATAGACGATAGAGTAGTTTGCAACTTACTTACATAATAATCGAGAAAAGAAACGGTAACTATTGGATCAGATCTGGGGAGTGGCTAGTTTCCGAGGTTTGATCATATTTTAAGGCGTCTGAGTGTGAGTTCTTCTGAGAAATTTAATAACTGGATTATTGGATTATCTAGATAACAAAACTCATTATTTGTAGCTACTTTTGAAATGTATTGTGGGACCGTCTAAATACCCAAGTATTTAATTATGTCACCATTACAGTAATACCAATATGCTCCAACAATTTGTCTGAGAGCGCAGGAATACTTCAGTAATATTTTAATGTTAAAACATACAGGGTGTTCGGAAAGTCCCCTCCCCCCCCCTCTAACTTTTGACCTAATTGAGGTAGAGATTTGAAACTTGGAGGGTGTTCCTATATCAAAGGGAGCTACTTTTTGACCTCCCCAAAATTTTTGGGGGCCCCCTTGGGGGGGTTACGGACCCTAACTTTTTTTTTTCAAATAGGAAGACCCCCTTTGTGATACCTCGTTCGAAAGAGCATAAAAAAGAAAATTTTTCGCGCAATCCCGAAGTCATTATCTCAAACCGTTTCAAAATGGCGGCCGGTCGAAGTTCGAAATGACCGAAAATTGGCACCTCTGCTATTTGCGCATGGATTTGCTTGAAACTCGGTATCTAGGGGTATTTTGGCACGAGAAAAACGAATTTAACGTTAGATTTTTAGAAAAAACCCTAATTTTTCTAAATGGCCGCTGGTTTAGGCTCAGAGTGGCCGAAAATTTGACAAACTCGATTTTTTGCCAATGGATTCACCTGAAATTCGGTATCTGGGGGTATTTTGACCCGAGAAGAACGAATTCGACGTCAGATTTTTAAACAAACCCTGGTTACCCATCTAGGTTATCCGGGTACCATCTGGGTACATCTGGTTACCCAGATCTACCCAGATACCAAACACCGAGTTTCAGGCGAATCCATCGGCAAAAAGTCGAGGTTGCCAATTGTTGACCATTTTGAACTTTAATCGGCGGCCATTTTGAAAAATTAGGGTTTGTTTAAAAATCTAACGTCGAATTCGTTCCTCTCGGGTCAAAATACCCCCAGGTACCGAATTTCAGGTAAATTCATTGGCAAAAAATCGAGTTTGTCAAATTTTCGGCCACTCTGAGCCTAAACCGGCGGCCATTTAGAAAAATTAGGGTTTTTTTTAAAAATCTAACGTCAAATTCGTTTTTCTCGTGCCAAAATACCCCCAGATACCGAGTTTCAAGCAAATCCATGAGCAAATAGCAGAGGTGCCAATTTTCGGTCATTTCGAACTTCGACCGGCCGCCATTTTGAAACGGTTTGAGATAATGACTTCGGGATTGCGCAAAAAATTTTCTTTTTTTATGCTCTTTCGAACGAGGTATCACAAAGAGGGTCTTCCTATTTGAAAAAAAAAAGTTAGGGTCCGTAACCCCCCCAAGGGGGGGCCCCCAAAAATTTTGGGGAGGTCAAAAAGTAGCTCCCTTTATTATAGGAACACCCTCCAAGTTTCAAATCTCTACCTCAATTAGGTCAAAAGTTAGAGGGGGGAGGGGACTTTTCGAACACCCTGTATATCGTTTACTCTTTTTTCCTGGCGTTAAAGTCTTTTGATGACAAGCCGAAGGTGAAGCGGTTCCTTGCTCTTTGCTGTCAAATCTCGTCGATGTTTTTCATTCTTAGTCATAACTAATTCATTAGGTAATTTTTTAACTCCATACACTTACACTTCAGAGGACGTATAAACGTGAAAAGGATTATTATTTTTTATTCACACAGGACGAACATGTTGACATCCTGTCAAATGTTGGAGATGAATTGAAGCGATTAAAAAGCGACTGTTCACTGATAAATATACAAGCGGCTACGAGTACTTATGAGTCAGATGAAATGGTTACAATAGTATGCAGTGATGATGCAGACTGTTCTCATGCCCTTGGTCAAGCCATGGCGGATCTAGATAAGACGGCGACTTACGTCGTTTCCAGTAAAATTGAGAACAGATTAAATGATGCAGGTAAGAAATTCAGCACACTTATAACAGTGGCTACATTCTAACAACTTGCCGTTGGCTAGTGCTTTATGGATTAGCATTATCGGCGTCACTGCAAAGTAATTATCAAATAAGTAAAACATGGACGTGGAAAAACGTATATTGTTTTATGATATGGTCAGAGAGATGAAATATTCATTTTGTGAGATACAAGTTTGAGTTACCTCAAATCAAAGTTTTGTCAATTTATGTAAACGAATTTTTCTTGCAAAATGTTATTTTTGTGGCATTATCGAGAGCAATGAACATCAAGCATCATCCAATACTGCCGTGCTAAGGAAGAACGCCGTATGAGCCTTCAGACGTTGCCAAATTTCTTTTGACAAACACGAATTTGCGGTAAAATCTGAATAATTTCTTCATCCTATTTTTTACAGAATTTTGTTCGTAATTTGAACTGAAGTTTTACAGAAAATTTCAAGCAAAAATATTCATAACTTTTTTCAAAAATAAATATTTTCTAGGAGGAAATTTAGTAATATTTGAATATTCATATGACGTTTTTACTTGGCACGACAGAATGCATATCGATATATAAAGTGCTTTTCATGCCATAATACTAGCATACAGAAAACTTCCTATCTCTCAACCTTTTACGCTGTCTCACAATGATGTCTGATTCTTTCTCAGCTCCAACACCAAGCGAAAAGCTTACCGACTACTTACCCTCCTCCATCCACGAATTGGAGGAAATGGGAGCAGATTTGTGTTCAAAGGACTCCCAAATTGACGGTCAGAATGCTGCTGAGTTCTTTTACACACCCTCTCTGTCACCCAGAACAACAACAGAAATAGATGACGTATTCCCTGTTTTTATAGTTCCTGCTTTTTGCCAAACTCAGCTGAAACCTTTGATTTCGAAACAAATGTATCCCTGTTACGTAGCTCATGTGCATCCTGAAGCTAGTTCTACTAAGCAAGTTGCTTCGCATCTGTTAGAGGTAATGCCAACCCCAGTAAAGATAATACAAATTTCAGGAAACTCTCCTAGAATTCCTGACACTAGAATTATATTTGAATTTCATTAAGTATTAATATTTGGAAAATCATTAAATATTGTTCAATAATTGAGAAACTGCAGTCCGATTCCGAGTAGAGAATTTCGGACTCAATTATATTGACATTTCGCAACGACTATTGTGAAATCCGCGAATCAAAAGACATTCTCATCATTTCTGTCAGTGAGCTCTGACGCGCTGCGGTATGGTACACTACCAGACTCATTAAAAAATAAAGTCTTGAGACTCAAAGTGTATCTGTTGATCAATCAAGTATTGATTCGTTCTCAAAAGCACTGTAAACCCATCTTCAACGATTCTTCAACATGATTACTTACATTTTTAACTACTCTGACATCAAAATCAGACTTCGTATGACATCTTGATATAAATCCGAATGATTTAATCTCAAGAATGTTTGAGAGAATTTTTTAAAATCTTATGAATACTCTACCGATTGATCAACTGTGGAATCTTACCATGAGGAATCCTCAACTACTTTTGTACGGATTTTAAAATTAACAAACCTAACTTTGATAAAAAAAAAAATATCAAACATCAACACTATCCATGCTGATTTTATACTTGCAGTCTATGATGAAAATTCAAAGGAGAGGTCCTTATACTTTAGTTGGAGAGACCTGGAGCGGAGGGTTGGCTATTCTTTTGGCGAAGCTTCTCACTGATGCAAAGCAGGAAGTATCCTTGTTCCTCTTGCAGGGGGTACCTCAAAGGTTGCTCTCACTGTTACCACCCAGAGAATCCTTGAATGCTCACCTCATAAAATTACTGTTCGAGCTCGATGAAGAGGTATTTGAAGCTGCATAATTATAATTCTAGCCTCCGTGCATATTTTTCAGACATTGGTTGGAAAGCTCATTCTCATAGAATTCAAAGCCATAGACAGTGCATTAGATAAAAATACACTAAATGGCATGTCCAAGCTGCGGTGTACTGATTACACTTGGAAAGCCCTCACGCCGAAAGTGCAAGAGCTGTCACTCTAGGATCCAACAACTTTGTCGGTCCGAGTTAGTTTTATCACATTGAATTCATCTCACCGAGACACGTGGGATCCGTGTTTTTTCTCATAGCACATCCCTGCTCGATCTACTCAGAATAATAAATTACCTACTAGGTGGCTGCGCCCCCTGGCCGCTCCGAAATCCAACCCCCCAGAGGCGCTTCGCGCCTCTAATTAGCAGATATCGTGAGATCGTTAAAAGATCATTAAGAGTTAGGGAAAACCCGGTTTGTGGAGACGGCGGGAAGCATGTGAGCGTGCTCGGCGGGAGGGGAGCGGGGAGTGGAGGAGAAACCGGTTTGTGACATGATTAGCGTTACCCCCTCAGCGTGACGCGGCACCCTTATGATTTTATACTATAGAGTAAGATTTAATTTTTGATGGGTTTGATCTGTTTTTCGTTGTCACTCAATTCAGTAGATCCGGTTCTGTTTCGGAGTGGTTTCTTCACGACTTCCAAGGAATTATAAAACGTAACATTATAACACAAATTCACAAAAATAGCCCGAATAATTTAACTAAAATACACAACAAGGCACAACAAATGCTAAAAATTAACAAAACATAAAGCCTGTGACTTTTCGCGGTAGTCTAAACCCCCTACTCGAACAGGAAACAAAAATATACAAAAAATTACACAAATCAAAGTACCTAGATCCTCATATAGTGGTAACCACTTTAGTGATGACCTTCCTTTTTGTTATCACAAGTGGGAGTCTAGGTATTTTGATTTTTTTAATTTTTAGATTTTTTTATTCCTGGTCGAGGAGAGGGCGGTGATCACCCCGAAACGTCCGGCTTTTTATTATGTTTAGTTGTTTTTTCGCCTACGTTTGTCTCGTGTTTTTTAGTTTGAACGTTACACTAACGTTTGTTTTGTGAACTAAATGCGGTCTGATTATTATCTTAATAATACTTTGGCCAGAATTTCACCAAATCTTAAAATGCTTGCTGGCATTGAAAAGCTCAGCTATCAAGCTTAGTTCATATTCAACTAATTCATTGCTATTAATTTTGCTCAATTTTCAGAAAAGCTCAGAAGTATTTGAAGAACTGGACGAGACTAAAAGATTTGACAGAGTGGTAAAGTCATTTCCGTTTAACAAAAATTTCTTGCGAAGATCCTTCAATGCTATTCAGCGTCAAATAGAATCATTGAGAAGCTCTCAAGACCACTCCATTAGCCTAAATAATGATATTTTCCTAATGGAAGTGTCCCAGTATTGTAAATTGTCAGTCATCGAGGTGGAAACGGTAAGTTGAACATTTTAGTCAACGCATTTTTTTTTTTTTATCAACCTATATGCTTCAAAATCTATGAATATTATGAGTAACTATTACCTCTTTATAAATTTAATTCAATTTGACCAAAAAAATATAACCTTATATCACCTTAATTAACGATAAGCTAATAGTTTGAACTTTAAGTAAAATAATCAAAATAAATTAGAATACTTACTTCCTAATAGGTAAGTACAAACTGAAACTCACAGATAAAAAGAGACTTGATCTTTAATTTACAATGGACCGTGCCAACTTTTTAATTAATTGATCGAATCTGTAGCGTAGTCGTGTGCAGAAAATAATTGCGTTTTCCTTCATTGTTTATGTGCAACTATTTGGCCTTGATTTTTTAAGTCCTCGAGAGTTTTTGAGGGGCATTCCGAATAAAGAGCTGATGTGAAATTCGTCTGTTATCGAATGATTTTGACCCAAATTCGAAAAATTACACGAGAGCCACTGTGACAGAAATACACTTTACATTTTTAAGAAAACTGGTGATCGTATTTATGAAGTAACAAAATATACCCGATTATAAGGTTTACTATAATTACTAAAAATTTTCTTTTATCTATTTACTTATTTTATTTTTATTCTCTTTTAATAGTATTTCATTCTCTCTTTCATAATACCTTTCGTATAATTTTTTTCTACCAAACTACTCGATACACATTTAGTTTTTTCTCTGTGTGTAGATGTCCGAGAAAAGAGTGCAGCTTGTGAAAATCGACTGTGAAAACTACAAGAAAATGCTGTCAAATCCACAACTTTCCGCTAAAATCGCTGAAGAGGCACCATTCACCTGGTGATGACAGTTCAATTGAACTTCGGCCGATGCACCAATAATGCGGGCTGATAAAGTTTGCTGAAATTTACGGACTAAACAAAATATTAAACTTTCAAGGCTCCAGCCTTAAATTGTAAGTCAGTGATCTGAAGAATGCTCCCAGAAAATTTTAGGTAGCTTCAAAGAATAATTAAAGTGGTTTGTAAATAGTGCGATACTGAGTAAAACTTATGTGAAGAGAAGGATGAAAGTTGGCAGACTTGTCAGTTTAGAAATGTTTGCAATCATTAGAATTCTATCTTTGTTTTTTGTTTAAGAGAATAAATAAATAGTATTCGTTGATTCAAAACCCGTCTTTTTGTGAATTCAAACATGCTGCACGTGGGTCTTGGGGTTTGAAATAAAGTTTTCCCACAGGACAACCCTAAACCAATTTTTACATCTGTGTCGAGAGAGTAAAAGAAACACGCTACCTTCGAAAAGTACCGTGACCTAGAACTGAGACTCATATGCAAAACGATGCTTTTGTCACTCTTGACCTCGATTCTACTTACGGTCATCAACCAACCAATGGTACCAAAAGTTTTCCCGGATCAGTTGAGGCACAATAATTGAGCAGAAACAAAGTGCAATTCTCAACATTGACTTCCATCAAAGGGCTTAGTTTTTTATGGTGCCAGCTCGATTTTTTTAAAAAAAAAAAAAACAGTGCAATCAGATCCAACCCGTCTCTATAACCACAATAAATCGTATTCGATAGCGGTTCGATGTATCGTTTGGTTCAAAACAATGGAACATAACTACAAACAAGAATTTTAGGATTTGAGTAGGAAAAGCTGAACATGAGAAAATTCCAAATAATTCCACTTCTCATTACCAATTTTTTACTCATCAGAATCGAGAACCTATCACATGCACCCCGTTTCCTCAGTATACTCGATTGCATTTTGAGGCTATGTTTATATGTTCAACCAACCGATATAGATACAATCTCACCTGTATGATTATTGAATACGATCCATAAAGAGCCTCATCTGTAATTTTTAAATCTTGCGCAATTTCGAAAAGTGGAGATGGCATTTAGCTCACACGAATTTGCACTAATTTTCTTTTAATACTTCCACCTACAAGATCCAAGTCCAAAGTTGCGTGTTTTCAGCTTTTGTGCAAATGCGCATCACAAAGAAAGCTAAGATGGCGTCCAAAAATATCCCTGCGCGACCGGAATCTCCTCTAACTGGGAAGTCTCTCCATCACGATCCATAGTCTGTGCAGCCGTGCACTTTCTAACGACTCACAGTGGATCGAGTCGACACGAGAGATTGGACAAAATTTGGAAAATTTAATCGCTTATAAATCCGTTTATACAAAACTTTGAGGTTCTAAAAGTGGTTCTATTTCTCTCCTCTTGGTATTTTCCTCTAAAAACACCCCTTAAAATTTAAAATGTGACGAAATAAACATCAATATTTGCAGGTTAAGTAAAAAATTTCATGTCCGACCTCTCCAAGTGACTCGATCCACTGTGCAGCTGCGGAGACCATCCATGCGGTAAAGTTGCGCGGTTGGAGGAGAGGTTACGGTCGCAGGGATATTTTCTAATGCCATCTTGCCCTTCTCAGTGACACGGGTTTAAATAGGTATCTCAAAAATCCCGGTTTGAACTCGTTTCTTGTGGGTTTGCTTGGCTAAAAAATCTGGGCAATTTTTTATGATCTCAATGCCCATTCTAGTTCTCAAAAATACAGAAATGAAAAGTGGCTGAACAAGTTTATTGACGACATTGCCTTTTGAAAAAAAGAAAAAAATTGAATTACGTCGTGCATCTCCTTGTTTTCGTTTTCCGGTCCTAGTCTCATACTGCCGTGCTAAGGAAAAACGCCGTATGAGCCTTCAGGCGTTGCCATATTTTCTGTGATAACCAACGAATTTACTGGAAAAATTCTGAATATTTCTATTCCAATTTTTTAGACAATTGTGTTCCTAATTTAATCTAACATATCGGAAATTTTTAAGGAAAAATACGCATAACTTTCTTCAAAAATACATGTTTTAATCGGGGAAAATTTGGCAACTCTTGAATGTTTATATGGCGTTCTTCCTTAGCACGGTACCATATATTTAAGTGCTTTACCGCCGTATTGAGGAAAAATGCCGTATGATCCTTCAGGCATTGCCGATTTCCTTCAATAAAAACTGAAGTTACTGGGAAAATTACGAATATTTTTCTTCAAATGTTTCAGAAAATTATGTTCTCAATTCAATCTAAAATATTTGAAAATATCAAGATAAAATATGCATAATTACCTTCTGAAATACATTTTTTATCCACGGAAATCTGGCACCTTTCAAATTTCTGTGCGGCGTTCTTCTTTAGCACGGCAGTTCACGCCAGGTAGTTCCCTTTGATGTGACTGCGGTTCAACAAAGCCTGACTTTTCTAACCTTATTCACATCATTTCTCAGTCTCGCGGTTTTCTCCAAGCGCATGTACAGGCATTAAATTTAAAAATTTGATTATGCTTTAATTTAACTGAGAAAGAACCCGAACAATGACAACATCAACTTGAGAGAACCTTTTTTAAAAAAAAAAAAAAAAAAAAAAAAAAAAAAAAAAAAAAAAAGGTATGATTTTGCAATCGCTAGCGATAGCAATATTCGTCATGGGAACGTTAGCTTCTGGGATATGAAAATGTTAAGGTACAGTTCGTTTGTAGTATCTTCTGAATTGAAGGGGCTATGTAATTTTGTGTTGACATCTCTTTTTTAACATTTTTAATTATTTTCTTTGCATACAAGAAAGCTGTTATGTACCAATTATTTATTTTCGTTGGATTATATAGGTATGGTTTTCGGAAGTTAACGCATTTAAGTTTCAGGTTCGCTTTTTCGGCGTAAAGTATACGTAAGGTGTCCCAAAAGCACCGGGACTTGTTCTGTAACTTCGAAAGTAAGATAGATACAGACATGATCTTGATTTCATTTTAAAGATCAACTCAATACCTATCGATTAAAACCAAGATCAGCTCAATCGGATAAAAATTGACCGAGTTATGGCAATTTGAAATCAGCGAGGAAAGTTTACGCCTACGGTTTTTAAGGAAGATTCTTCATCGCCGTAAATCGAAAAGTCGGCCGATAAAGTGATGCTTATTGTGTTTTTTTATTTTCGAGGTGTCATTTATCAACATTTTGTACCATCAAACACAACAGTTGACAGTGCGTATTATTGCAAAGTACTAAAGGAGTTGAGAATGCACATTTCCCGGAAACGGTCGGACTTGAAAGCTTCGTGGATACTCCATCAAGACAATGCGCGGCCTCACACATCGAGCTTAACACGTGAATTTATGAGTAAAAATGGAGTTGAAACAATCCCTCATCCCCCTAATAGCGCTGACTTGGCTCCATGTGATTTTTGGATGTTTCCCACGCTTAAAAAGGAGCTTCGCGGACGAAGATTCGTATCGAAGACCGAAATCCAGAATGCAATTCAAAACTTCTTCAACTCCATCCCAGAGGAAGAATTCAGGAAAACAATGTTGGATAAGTGGCAAGAGCGCATGAAAAAGTGCATCCGGTTTGATGGACGGTACTTTGAAAAGCAAAAGGAAGTTATGGAAGATTCGGAGGAAAGTGGATACGAATATTAACTTTTTGAATCCTGGTAAGCGAAAAATCTTCCTAAAAACCGTAGGGGTAAACTTTCCTCACTAATTTCAAATTGTCATAACTCGGTCAATTTTTATTCGATTGAGCTGATCTTGGTTTTAATCGATAGGTATTGAGTTGATCTTTAAAATGAAACCAAAATCATGTCTGTATCTATCTTACTTTTGAAGTTACAGAACCAGTCCCGGTACTTTTGGGACACCCTACGACGTATGATATTTTTACTCTACACATATGCCCGAATACGCATCATAAGGCACCTATGTGCTTCCTAAGTTGCCAAGTATTAATTATTGTTAGATTATTGGTCTAAAACATTCAATACAACCAGTAAAAATTAACTGTCCCCTGCGAGATTCGAACCCCCGCTCGCACAAAAAGTGTCATTCTCTCAGAGGCAGAACGGTAACGCAGCCAGTTGAGCTATTTCGCTGCTCAGATATGCAACGAGAAAAAGAGAACACATAAGTGATCTCGGACGCTGAGCGGGGCTTCACAAAAGACGTCCTTGAGATTTCAACGGTTCGGCCACTGGCGTGATAAGACACAACGGATCAACCGCATTACTCTGTGAGACATTGTTTACCTATGCTGTCATGTGTCACGAGGTTCATATCAACAGGCATTTGCGATCGCGGCAGTAAGCTCAGGCAAAATTTCTGTATTCATGGATTAAATCCATCAATCGAGTTTTGATTTTGGCTCATATATCCGTAACGGGTCCTCCAGAGCAATTTTCCACCTTGTACGATGGTTATTATTTCTTTATATCTATGTTTAAAATTTGAGGTGGGATAATGGCGGCTTCTCAAGAGCAACGAGGTAGGCGATCTTTTGCACCAACGAACAGAAAACTGATGGCGAAAAATAGCCAATGAAAACCTCCCAAAAAAAAGAATTTGCCTAAAAACGGAACTTCGTGGTTCTGCGCAGATTTACCAGTCAGACACGACATCTTAAGGTGGAAAAAAACTCGCTGAAAGCGAATTTTAGCAATCAACACAACTTGACGTAGAGACATGATTGGCTAAAAAATACAACGGTTTTTGATACATCGGAAAATCAACCAAAAATCGGAGACTGGGCGAAACGCTCAAGGTCGCAGAGGTATAGGGAATCCCATTGTGAAAGCAACGGAACGATTGTAATATCATGGGGAACTCCGTTCCCATGACAAAAATCCCCACAATTCTGCAATCAATATGATGTCTGCAATTAATGAAATAACTAATCATTACTCCACATGAATATTTGAAAAATTGCCAGGTATTTTAATAATTTAAAACTTTACCATCATTATACAGTAATGAGTAAGATTACGCCTAATTCTACTTGGCCTTAATCCCTGAAAATCTAAATAGATTTCGTTAAGAAATGACGTGGTGTCTAAGAAAAATGAGGAACCAGAGTAGTATGTAGATTCCATTATGGAATGTAAGCCATCAATTAAACCAGTGCACTCAAACAAAAAAAATCCAAAATAGCTCGCACTGTCTCTTATGAAACTTAAGCTTCTCATACTGTATAAATCACTTCTAAAAACACCATTACACAATAAAGCCCGAATAATTCAACTAAAAATCCAAGAGAATGTGTTACCAAGTCTAAAAA